TGGAGGTTTTACATGAAAGCTCCATGGAACTAACATGAACTACACTCCATATGAGGAACTCCATACGAGGTTTACATGAACTACATTCAATCCATGGAACCTCCATATGGAGGTCTTTTTCATATGGAACCCTTTTCATATGGAGGTTTTAATCATCAAGAGTCTACACTCCCTGGAACGTTCCATGGAAGTGGATGGCATGGCTCCATTTCCATGTGAGTTCCATACGCGGTTTGAAGATGCCGGGCCGGCGGGTGGTGCAGGGATGCCGGGCTGTGTCCTTCCGCCACATTGTTAGTGGCAGAGGCACGGCCTGTGACTGCGGCCACGGAGGGTGTGGGGGGAGGATGGTCAGGGAAGATGGCGGCCAAAACAACAGGATGAAGAGGCAGAAGATGGTTCTGGGTTCTGGATGGAAAACGGTTCTTGTTTGTCTCTGACACCAAGACACGTCTTCCTTGGCCATGAATCCAGATGCTCGCCACAATGGATGACCGATTCGCAGCTAATTACAGCGGGCACAATAAGCCAGACCCACCATTTGTCTCCATTTGTTGTGTGGCTCCTAAAGTCAGACTCCATCTTGGGGCCGGTTGAAGCTTCTCCGCCACATTTCATCACATTCCTCATTTTCTGAAAAGGTCACGGTCTCCAGGTCTTGCAGTCTTGCATCCCTTGAAGTCTTGTGGAGTGTTTGGAGCACGTCTGGATCAAGAAAGGTTCCTGATTTGATTGCCTTTTTTGTGGGGTCACCCGCAGCCAGGAAACTTGAGTGCAGCGCAGCACGCGTCACCAAGGGGTGGCCGTGGCAGGGTTTGAGGGGTTCGGGACGTCTGACGCGTGACCACCTGAGATGGCTCATGAAGACAATATGAAGACACGCGGCATCATAACAGCTCTTGTTGCTTGCGGGCTAAAAACACAGCTGCACTGATCAATGCCAATCCCCACGTGTTTCAGACCGTTTCACCGGCACTGGGACCGACAGTCCCTTGTGGTGGCAGCATGTCACTTTGGGCCCGCTGCTTCTGCTCCGCCGGCTTTTGCCTCGGCCAGTGGCTGATTTGTCCAAAACACCGTTTGGCAGGGGGTCTGTGGGCCCGAGGGCAACATGCTCGGCATGCCGAGGGGAGGGAGACAACTAAATCGATTAAACATCTTCAGGACAGTCTTTGGTGCCAAGTTAATTACAGCTATGCATCCGGTAACTAGGGATATTTCAGCGCCCTTCGGTGTTTTAATAGCTAATTAAGCAGCTAAAGCTATGCCAGGGTTCATCCCCGCTGTGAATACCTCAAGCAAACATCTCTCCTTTCGAGTCGCATCGAGTCGCAGTCGAATCTCCCCTTGTTTTGCGAAACGTTGGTTTCATTTTTGTGCGACCTTGATACCTAAGTAATTATAGCAACTGTGCAGAACTGCAGTAAGGTATGCGCCTGGAACCCAGGCTTTCAGTAAGGTGGCCCCTCCATATCGAGCCGCGTCTCCACCATCTCCAGCCGCGTCTTGAGGATCCACCGTCATCAGCGCCGTCGGTCGCGACCGCGGAGGAGGCAGCAGCGTTCCTTGCGGAGCTGGCTCAGCAGGCGGACCGACTGGGTGCGAGGGCTGTCGGCTCCGACTGGGTCGGCTGGCGGAAGACCTTTGGTGGCCGTCTCTGCGGGCCATGGATGGAACATACGGCAGATCATGTAGCCTCTTCATCAATCCCACCCAGCTGGATTGAAGAACCTCGTCATATGGTGTGAAGTATATATATATATATACCCTGGGAGTCAAAGACTATAAAAAGAATGGTCTTGAAAGGGGACCTGAAAGGGAACTTCCTTTACTTCAGCCGGTCAAAAGATAGTCTTTGGACTTCTAGCCAACGATGGACACCAGGACGTGACTGGGCCTGCTCGGGCAGTCAGACCCGGGATGCCTGCCTCGTTGACTCTGCGGAAATGGTTAGAAGTAGAACGTAGCTTTAAAGGATCCCTTTGCCCAAGACACCCACAACTCAAATGTTCAAAAGGTCAACCCCCATATCGGACTTATCCTCAAAAGAGCTTAGCTATATGCTGAACAGAATTCCAGTTCGACTTCGCTTCTTCCTAGGCCCGTGCAGCTGCGCTGGCGCAGCTCGAGCAGCGATCGATCCAAGAAGGCGCTCCATCGTGACCAAAATGCTCCGAAGAGGTCGCGGATGGGCGGAGAACGAGGTAATTTTGTGAGGAGTCTTGACCCCAGTTGTTTCCCAACATTTGAAGTGTTTTTCTCATGGACACATGCAGGACATGGAAAACATGGACACCTTCCTGACTTGGCATGTCCAGCAGAACTTGATTTTGGGGACCGTTGGGGGGGCAACTAGGTTTGCTTCGGCTTGGGCGGACTGGACACCAGAAATACCTCCTCGCAAATCCCTCGTCATAACAACTGACCCCTTGCCCTTGACCCATGATCCATCTACCAACTACTCCTGGCTCACCGCCAAAGCCCTCGCAGAACCCGAGCCATGAGAGCCAGATCCTGCCCTTTGAATCCCCAACCATCGAGTTGCTGAGTGGTTGCTTCCTCAACTTCCTCCACGACGGGCTACGCGGCCACCCTGGTCGCCCACGCTTCGGACCTCCCAGGCGAGCCGTCCTCGGTCGACCTGAACGGAGGTCCTGCGGAGGCCGGGGAGGCCGGAGGGTGGGGCAGAGAGCTGCCCAGCGCCGGCAGGTGGGTGGGAGTTATTTTTTGCGATGACATCCTCACTGATGAGGTGAGGAGCATTGTTGAAACATGGTTTAACACAGGTGACACAGGTGATCCAAGTTCAGGAAATGTCCTGAACACTTTCGGTGGTGCCAAACATAGTCGAACTGGACTTCGGGATTTGGTTTCTAGGGGTGGACTTGCAAGGATGTTGGATCAATTTCAGCCATTTTTTTTGGCAAAGCCCTTTGTGAAGCACCACCTGGGGCTTGTAAGGGTGCATTTTCATGGGTTTTTAGTCTATTTCCCTTCCTCCAGGGGGTCATTGCCTGGGAGGTCTCCCTATTTCAATCCACCCGTAGACATTCCATTTATACTTCCGATACCGGAAAGTACACCGACGACCTCTCCGACGATCGGTGCTTCCTGAAGGCCCCCCCCAAAAAGGAGTTCATGATCTGGCTTGATCCAACACCGTGGCATGTGTGGAAACACACCCCAAACTCCAGGAACTTTGTCATTGGAACCAACAAACCCTTGGACATCAGAGCAGAACGACCATTTCGGTTGATGGGGCCCAGGGCTATCTTCGAACAACGAGACCAGGACTTGTTTCCATCTGGATTTTAACAGTCGGCAGTTAAACGTTCACATGGGACTGGCATGTTCACCGAGTCTTCATCACTCCTGAAACAACCACCAGAATGTAAAGTATTTACGTCCACCCATGTCCACCCCATGTTCTAAGGTACCTGAGAAAACACATCAGCTTAATGGAATGGCTTATGGGTTCTTCAACTGAATGCAGGAAGCCCAGTCGAGACGATTGCCGAGCCCAGTCGAGACGACTCCGTCAGGTGAGGGGAGCACACCTCGGAGCAGGAGGGTTCAAGGACGATGGGAGAGCCACATGCTCCACTACCAACTCTTCAACCTGGTGAGTGGGGTGTATTCTAATTATATGACTCTCACGACTGTAATACAACTTTAGTCTTTAGTATATTGTTTTTTTTAATAAATGGTGTTCTAACACAATTACCGTTCTCAATTGATCTGTGTTTCTCTTCCAACTGCCCGCGCTTTACGCCCTTCAAGCCCAATTTTGTGACTCATCCTTTCCAGCTGTTTCGATCGGACGCATGGATGCGCAGACGGAAGCTCCACACGCACCCGGTCTATTAGGTTGGAGGCCATCGCGAGTAGGTCCACAAAGCCAGCACTTAGGACCGTGCACACTAGCATTCCACGGGACTGGAAGAATTAGGACCTACATGGATGAGTCATGTCCTTGAGGTAAAGGTGTATGATGGTGTATGTATACATATCGTATCATCATATTCCAGTCGCATGGAGTGTCTGGGGATATCGGGTGAATCATCACGGGTCTTCCAAGATTTTGTGACCCATCCCCACATGAGCGCCGGGATGCAAGCCTGTACTTGTCATGCAAGCTGGTCTCCTGCACAACCACTTGCAGAACAATGTGCAGCACTTGTTCCGCAGCAAGTCGTAAGGCCGACACCGTTGAGGAGAATGCTGAAGGCCGGGGCCATGTTTTAGGGCGCCTTAGCAATACAATCAGTTACACTCATGTTTGATACATTTTGACCCAGATGCAGGGCATATGACACTTTTTCCGGTGCAGTGGAGAAGCTTTGATGACTTGGTTTCATTGCACGCCCAACCTCCAGATCCACCGGAGAGCCACACTCGTTGTGACCCCAATAGGACTGGAAGACCGGTCCCATGGTTTCACGACCTCAGGTCGTAGGTAGCTTCACTCTGGAGGACTAGGTAGTGTGGGCCAACCGATCGATTGATTGATTGCACTTAACGATCGTGAGGTACACCGAGAATCCGATCCGAACAGCTTGATGAAGGTGATGAAGCTTCATTTGATGCCGTGGGCTCAGAATCAACTTCTGAAGGGAGCTTTTAAATCTTTTAAGATCATCATTTTGGGGACCTCAAAGAGCTTGTCTTCTGCTATCTGATGGTTGCAGCCTGCTGCTGGCTCATTCTTTTTTGCAGGCAGTGCACCTAATTAATCCTTCTCCCTATTCTTTCGGTTTGGAAGTTGGACACCCAAGCTGAGGGTGGGTTGTTTCTGCCCTACAGGGATCCAGAATCTGGGCCTGAACCTCCAATGGAAAGGGCTTGGTTCGGGTCCTTTTCCGTGGGTCTGATTCTATTTGGGATATAGTATACGCACATTTTGCAGTAGAAACTGTCTGCCTGGCTGACCCGAAGATGGCGGAACTTCCTCCGCCCCCGCGGCCGACTTCGGGGGGCCGCTCGATCCGTTCGGCGCGTTCGGCGGTGCGGCGCGTGCGGCGGTGCGGCGCGGCGTTCTCAGGCCATTGAGCGTCGGATCGAGGCGGAGCGGCTGGCCTGTGGGGCTCCTCGGGTGGATGGACCTCTCCGGGCGACCCTGGCTGGCGACGAGTCTGGTGACTCCCTGATCGGTCCAACAGTCAACCTGTCGGTCTACCGGGAGACGAGCCATTTCTGGAGTTCCATGGCGTGGGCCAGTCTGTTTTGAACAGCACCAGCCAGTGAATGGACGTTGGCAACCTCCTTCATTGAGCGATATGGAACTGCTGGTGTATATCCATGATATTGTGTAAGATGATTCCCTGGTGTTTTCAGGAACGGATGTTTTAAATAGAATCTTGTATATATATAGCAATCATATATGATGTGACCCCTCCATTAGGACCCACAAGGAGAGGACAAGATCAAGAAGTGGTTGCCATGGATGGGGGGGCGGCATTGCTCGATTGGAAGGGAAAGCGTCCGAAAAGGAGATTGGACCATGGCTTGGGACAGGGCACTTGCATCCGGTAACCCACATTCAACCCATCTGCAACTGGAACGACTGGAAAACGAACCGAGCGGACGTTTGGTATTCGGCGTGGTTGTTGTATTGCACCAGGATTACGTTTCGGTTCCGCAGGTGTGTTGCGCCATCTGTAGGAGCCGGAGCTGAAAATGTAGGTATTTGGGCTGTTCAGTCTACATCGCCTTCCTGGCTTGTTTGCGGCCATCTGCCCCACATCGGAAAAGGATCTACAGCATGTACCACGGTACAATCACACCTGCACCTTCAAAGGGGTGGTCAATGGAGATCCACAGGTAGCGTGGGGTAGTCCATTGGAGACCCCTTGGAAGGTTTTGGGTCCGCAACATGAAACTGATGGGGGTGGAGCCGCCGAACGATGTACTGCAATCTTTCACTCCCACCAGCACCCTCCAACAGGCTGTTTGAAGACCCTAACAGGTGGTTTCTGGGCACCTGTTGTCACCAGGAAACACCTGTTGGAGTGTCCAGGTACTTGCTCTATACATGCGAAAATGCTTGGACACGTGGAACAATTTAAATTCACGATGGTGTTGCTGATCTCGCTCATAACCTTTTGGAGTTTCTCCAAGCATAGAGAGTCCAGCTTGGGAGCTGTGAAACAAAAGGCTCTCCTTCACTCTCGCTAAACGCAGTGTTTGGGTGGAGTAATGGCTCAGCCGATGAGGCCTGCAGCTGCTGGAACGACAGCATCAGGTGGGGCCTGCGTGAGGAGTAGGAAGAAAGGCTGTATAAGACACAATTCTTGGCTGCAGCGTGGGAGGAGGTTTGTCCAAAACTGGTCTCAAGTTAATCAGTGATGTCCGTCCGCGCATTCAGCCAAGTCACCTTGCATCGCTTGATGATTAATCATGCTCGGGTCATGGGTCATGATCTTGTGGGAAGGACATCCTGACACATGGCTCTGGGTCGTGGCACCAGGAATTCCTTGCTTGACCTACCTGGCTTATGTCGGACACACTCAAAAATGGTGGACTGGTCGGGCATGTTTCACCGGGCTCCAGGTAATCATCACGGACCGGGCCCTCCATCTCCAGGTTTCTCACTCTGCTTTTGTTCGAGCGAGGAACTGATGGAGCAGATGCAGCGAGAGGAAGAGGAACGCCGCAAGGAGGAGGCTCCACGACGGCCCCTTCTGGCCCGCCCAGCATATCAAAGCTCCTGCTTGGACCCGAACCAACTGCTGTACAGGCTATATACATGTTGGTTCGGTCCAAGGCCCTAGTTGCGAGGGTCAAAAGCCTAGCGAACCGAGGGTCCACATATATCAGTGACGTTTCGTGACAAGATCATCAGTTCCGGAACCCTGCACCAGAGGGTGTAGCCTTAGGCGCGCCAAGACGGGGGGGGGGTCCGGATTTTACTATGACTTTTCTATGGGTTTGGCTTTCGGGTGCCAAGCAATGGGCCAGACTTCCTTGGTTGAAGCCGCTAGGGTGCGCGTCCATTGCCTGCCAGCTTGGAGCCTTGAACTCACCAGGCATGTCTGAAGGAACAGCTGTGGATGCACACAGAGGAGCGATGCCGCCGACGCCGTGCCTTTCGTGTTTCCGCTGTCCATCATCTTGGCCGTCTGGGGCCCCCCGATGCCCCAGGAAGACCATGGAAGACCTGCCCAACCTTTAGCCTCTGATCACCTGCCCCAAGCTTTTTTGGGGGGGCCGATTGGAGACATCTCACTCAGAGATGGAACAGGTGGAAGGAGTTTATTCTTTACACCTGTCAACTTCCGATCGATTCCCCTCCTCGACTCCGTCCCCGACTCGGGGACCACCATCTCCTCGACTCCGGGATCGCCAGTGACAGGAGTTGATGTGTCGAGAGCCCGGAGCTTGGATGTGGGCGTGAAAGATGACCAGCCTCCAAAACATCTTCCGAGCAAAGGCGATGGAAGATACTTGATCCTTTGCCAAGTGGGTGCCAAAGAATCCAAGAGATATGGCTTTTGGCTGTTGTTTAACATGTTTTCATCTTTAACCACTACCTTCAAAGGGTGTTGCGCACTCCTGAGGTTCTATTCCGAAGAGCGCCAGGCACAGAGACGAGAATCAAGAAGGATGAGAATGGAGGACAAGCTAAGCCGCGCTGCTGCCCAGACTTGTCAAGAAATCCGAAAACCTATTGCAGTCCACGATGTCGCTGGAAATGAGTGTTTCCAAAGACTTGAACCGTAGACCCAGAAACCCTGGTTCCTTATAACAATATTTATGGGATCCACGGGCTATGGCACGGGCACAATTATGGAAGATGAAGTGGAAGATGACAAACATTGCATTCCAGATGGAGCGGATCAGTTGGAGAAATCTTGATTTCATCCCCGATGCCAGTCGACTTGGATGTTGGGATTGGTTTTCATGCAGGGCAGAGGTGCCCCCCCATGCAAGGAGCTAGCCAAACGGATCACGGTCCTGAACACCTCATTGAGTTGTGTTTTGTGCACGATCAACTCCAGTGAGATGAGGTCCAACTGACCTGGAGGGTGGCCTTTCCACGCGGAGCGATACGAGATTTTCGATGGGATTCCGTCCAGACTCATTTTGCCCAAGGTCACGTTCAAGAGGAAGAGCAGCGAATGAAGGAAGATGCTGGTGCTCCCAGGTCGCTCTTGGCCTTGAGCTCCAAACTATAGTTACCTTCAATTGGTATATAGTAACGGGGTATACCCCAAATATATAGCATTACAATACCCTTACATACAGCCTCTTTGGTTCACAAGGGGTTTGCTATAACCCCCCTTAAGGTGAAACCCTTAGCAGAAGATCTAAGGACAGAAGCACACTCTTCAAAGGCTTTCTGGATGGCCAATTCGGCGACCAACCCATTCTGCACGACATCCACCCTGGTAGTCTGCCGCAAAAGTTTGTGATTTTTCCCTATACCGGAGGATCATGGTGAATCCTTTTTGGGAACACATCAACTAATACCTGGACCCGACTTCAAGTACCTCAGAAAATGGGATGTTTGATCCCATATAAACAGGTACGAGGACAGATGCGACCGGAACGCATTTTCTGAGGAGCCCGAACGGGGGGCGACTCTAACCGGTGCACACTTGGCACCGGTTCCTCCAACCACTCTGCGGGGCCCCAGCGCCATGGGACTGCCATACAACTGCCGCCCCATTGACCCCCAAAACCACCCCTGGCCGTTTCTCGGCATCTATGGCAGTCCCATGGGTCGTGTTTGGGCTTCTTTCTCAGGCCGAGCGTGCACGCGAAGCAGTCGAGCGTGGGCGACTGGAGCGAGAAGATCAATGGTCGACAGCCGTGCGGAGGAGTACGTCGTGTCCGTCGATGTCCAGCCGACACGGCCTGAACAAGCGTGAATCTTCTGGGGAAGCAGGGGTGGGTTCAGGTGCTCGATGCCTGAGAAGTGTCCGAGAAAACCAGGATATGTGAGTATATGTGAGTGAGTCATAGTGAGTCCATGTTGAAGGGCGCATGTGCCCACGTTCTGGTTTTGTGGGAAGGGCAATGAGGGCTGTGAGGGCAACTACATATACTGTAGCACTCGTCAAAGGTTTGAAGCACGCTGAACTCAACAGTTTGGTGAACTGTGCCTCCAAAGACTTCATGTCGACCTGCACTGCACGACCCAAAGTGGCCTCTAAGGTCTCAACCCAGAACCACCGGACCTCCTTCGCATTCCTTTTGGCTTTGCAGCTGTACATTCCGACCAGTCGGGCTACACCAGAGCATGGGCAGGTGATTGGCACTGTTTCGTCCGAAGCGGCCCCTTCTTTTCTGCCAGTGTTGGGGGGGGGCAGGTCGGCCAACAAATACGCGACTCACGAGTCATCACAAGTCCCAAGGGTCGACTGTACTTGAAAAACAGTCCTCGCGGTGTTTCAGCCACCGACCCCATCCGACCCGTACTCTTTGGCGTCGCCGGCCATCACATGCCATGGCGCTTGGGCCAACGTTGCTGTTTCACGCAGAAGAGGTTTTTGGCTGCGAGTTTCTGTCCGCTCTTGGAGCATCTTGGAGGTCGTGCCATGATTTGTTCGCAAGCAAACACGGTGACAGAACAAAACAAATCCTAGACGATCCATGGTGGCGCATGAATCACCTACATGATGGATCCTTTGGGCATGAATGCATCAGATTCAAACTTCAGATCCAACAATTCCCGTTCCACAACAAGACCAAAACGTTTTTTTTTTTAAACAATCATCATCGAAAAAAAAAATACACGAATTACCAGAGAGACCAGACATGTCGGTGATCATTTCTGAAACCAGACACGCGTGGCATTGTTTGTGCTGTAGAACAAGTGATGTTGTTTTCGGCAGTTGCATCTCCTGGTGAGCACTTGACATAAGGCAAGATATCATCCGCATGCGCCACAGCATCGACGAGCGGAGACGGAGTTATAAGGAGGGCCGCAGCTTGGATTGAACAATCTTAGGACCTTGAGAATCCAGGAAATAAATGGAAAGGGTTTTGACGGTCCAGACCCTGCTATGGAGTTCTTTTTTGGACGGTTGGACCTAATATATCTAGATCGAATTAGATCCAATTTGGTGACCCGCTGGCGGAACCTGGTAGAAACTTTTTGTTTGTTGTTCTTCACATTTCCCGTTTGGAGGGTTTGTACATGTTCCTGATTTGAGGAAAACAACTACCGCAGCCTTCGGGGTGGGCGTTGACAAGTCACTGGCACTTGTATGTGGCCCTCTCACTGGGGACCTCCATTCTTGATCATGCTTGCTATGGCAGCTCTGGCTTGGACATGTTTGGGCCCAAAACCACGAGTGTGTATTTTCGCAGACCATGAGAGCGACGGGAGCTCGGACTAGCGACTAGACTAGACCCTGGCCATCCTGGAAGAACTCCGACCACCCCTTGGCTTTTGGAACACCAAACCTCGACACGCCAAGCGCTGCGCCGCGCATCAAGGCCAGCGCTTCATGCGCGGCGGCAACTTCTCCTCTTCAGAAAGACCGTGGGCCGTTCGCAGATTTGGTGAGGAGAGGGAGAGAGACTTGGAAAAGTCGGAGAGTTCTCAGGTCACTCGGAGAGTTTTCAGGTCACTCGGAGAGTTCTCAGGTCACTCTTTCCCCAACACAGTGATCATGTAATTATGGAAGAGTTCGTTACATGGGTCAATGTATGGGCAGTTGTGTGGTATTGGCACTCCTGTAGTCTTTTGTTTGTGCCCATAGTTCATAGTCTGCCATGAATGGATGGCAAGAGTTGGGGTACGCTGGATCTGTTGCGCACGTCGTGCGGAGAGAGTGATCAGGTTGAACGGATGTGGTGTGAAGACGAACGCCCAAGGCACACTGTGGCACTAGACATGCACGGAAACAACCACTCTGCAGAGTGCACCATGCCCCGTAATGGTTGTATGTGGTTCTACATACACAACCCCAAACCATCCATGGGACAGGTCGGTGGCACGAATGATGTGTTTGAAAGAAGGTTGATAGAAGGGTGAAGAAAGGTGAGTTCAGGACTACAGGACGACTACTGATTGCTTGATCAAGCCCCAAAGAGGTGTATTCTTTCTTTTGATGGGGAGACCCCCCCTCACCAATGGGTTTTTGATGGCTTTGGTTTATTATATGTCCGTTCTCGGACGTCTCCCTATTAACACACATTGCGAATTTTGTTCAGGCTAACCATGTCGGCTTTAGCCATGGTTGGACCCAACTGCTACTAGATTCACCAGAGAATCCGGAGGCAAAGTGGCTCCTCCAACTTTGTTTCACATATTACTTTTGTTTTGGTTAGTATACCGGTACCCTTTGTCAGAAATGTGGCGTGCTCGCTCTCTTTCTCTCTCTCTTTTTTTCTGTCTTTCGTTCTTTTCTTTCGTTCTATTGAGAATCGCCCTTTGAAGTCAAGGACCCATTCGATTTCCCCCAAGTTTGAGGCCACCATCCACCCCGCTTCCTTCCGGACCCCGCTGGACCCTTCTGGCCCGTGAGTTTGTGGAGTCCCTGAAGGCCAAAGTAATTGGAGTTTACTGGGTTCTTCCTGGTGTTCAGTCTAAGGAATGAAGACGGAGGAGAGGAAGATCAAGCAACTTGAAGATCGCCTGGAATATTTGCTCCAACGCTTCCGACGGCACTGCCGATAGAGATCACAACACGTCGGTCAAGAGAGTTGTTCCGAGCTCAGAAGCACTTTGCAGAGCACTTTTGCTTGACTGCACGTTGCTTGTCTGTGGGTCCAAAGGAACCTTGCTGGACAACATTTTAAGGCTCCTGATCGTTTGTTGTGGATATGAACCAGCTATGCCCCTGCGTCCTACCTACACTGCACTTGCGGGCGCTGGTGCCACCAATATACATCGATGATTATTCTGCAGGGCATGTATGTATACAGGGTCAGTGAGCGAAGAACGAATCTATGCATGAAAACATCTCTTCAATTGTGATTCACTCTTTAGTTGCCAAGTCTCCCTATGCTGCAAACTGATCTCCTCAGCACATCCTCATCCAAAGAAGAACCGAATCAGAAGATGACATCGACCAAGTACCTCCAATCCTCTTCGTTTTCTCCCCCCAAGTCCACTGTCTTCAGAGAGAGGCCTTCGTGGTCGGACGACCGGCTTCGGCTCGCTTGGATCCCCTCCCCAGCCGGCAGAGGTTCGCACCGCCGATGACCGGCTTGGCGCGTCCGCTGCTGCGAACGCCTCGCCTTCGAAAGGGCGACCGTTCCCAAGAAATGGTTAGACCACATGGGAAGGGAGTTAGATGATGGTGACATGTGGTGATGGTTCGATTTCTAACATCCATTTCTTCTAACGTTAGATGATGCTTGGTTAGATGTTGGTGACATGTGGGGTGACATGTGGGGCCATTTGCATGGGGGAAAGATGTAACATGGTGTAACTTATTCCAGTCCCATGAATCAGGGTTTGGTCAAAAAGGTTTGTTTGTTGATGGACGAAATCGGCCGACTCCAAATGACGTCGGCAAGGGGAGTAAAAAGCGCGAGTTTCACAAGTACTTGCTGAGGATACTGAGGTTCTCTGTTGTTTTTTCCATGTTTTTTTTCTTCCAACATATTCCAATCTCAACATCACAGATTCTGAAGAAGAATGGCCGCATCCTTCATTTAATTCATCCTGCATTGCAGTACTGTGCATCCAAGAATGTCTCATGCTGCACCATCTTAACCTCACGGTGCACTGTACTTTTAAAGGGCTTCTTTTGAGGAACAGTTCTCGTTTTCACCACTTTCGGCGGCACCAGAATCAATCCCAGCATTTGATCATTCACCTCCTCTGCGACGTGGGTTGACTGAACCCGCGCGAGGAGGGCCCACGAGCAGCGAGAGGGCCATGCGATGGCCCTAGTCCGATGCCTGGCGGTGCAGGCTACGCTTCGAGTGGGAAAACTCGTGCTCCTTGGACTCAGGCAGCTGGGAACGCCGGGAGCAATTCGGGACTATCCATATTCCCAGTCAGATTCTATAGATTTCCCTTGAAACAGGGAGCTATGAGGAGCTAGAGGGAGTCCCCCCAAACCACTTGCTAGTCAGCGTCTGAGGAAAGATGAAGAGGCAGGGGTTCACGAGGGTCACGGCCCTCTCAAAGAATCAATGGAAGAATACGGAGCGGTGCTCTGTTTGTTGCTGCAAGTTGTGTCGATGGATGGAAGTGGATGACTGCAGTCTTACAAGGCAGCTGTGTATTTGCTGTACAATATTGTATATTAGCTGAAATTTAGCCGATAAGTGGTGATGAGTATCTTTCTGATTGAAAGATGTTTGATGCCGCAGACGGAACCCGCCCTTGTTCAGATGATGTGATGTGTGGAAGGTTTGTGTGGCGTGTGTGGAAGGTTTGTAGCTGTATATATATAATGCATCTCTCTGTGTGTGTTGTGTGTTGTGAAGAAGCACTCGTGGGCCATGGTGGTGCCCCAGTGCACCGACCGGTCTCGCCGAGGCCTGGCGAACGCCGATGCCGAGAGTCGCCGGTGCCGTGACCGGGCGAAGGAGGCGCCCGAACGACCCACGGTGACGGGGCTCGACCTGGGAGCAGGTGAAACACATGGGCAGCATGGTCTTGGTTTGTTGGGGAATCCGTTTTGGGGTGTTATGTTTTTGTGTTTTAAACGATGCATTTTTGTTTAGCGTTACAATTCAATGTGTTACTTGATGTTACATGACATGTAAATGTCAACATGTGTTTGGCCGATGAACCGTTTTTTTTCACTGATCAATATAGACCTTAAATAGTTCTCCAAGTATATAATGTGCTTAGTGAGCATTCATGATTTTGCGATGAGTCCTTTTCTTTGTCCAGGCCAGCAATGCGGGAAAGACATGATGTCAATTCAATGTGTAGATAACTGGTTGATGATGATTGAGGATCCAATGTCTTGTAGATCATTAGCCAAGCACATTTTTTTACAGGAAGAATACGGAAAAAGTCAAATCCACGCTGACGTGGCTATTTCCGCAACAGGTTGCCCCGCATTTTGTCCTATCCCAGCTCCAAGTAAGCATCCGAAGATCTCGGAAGGTACCACCTACAACCACCTTCCGAGGATAGATTCGAAGTCCCAGGCGATCCCCTCTCAAATGCTCCCAACCCAAGCCTGGCCTTGTTTCCCTGCCATCTCCGCACGTGACCCCCTTCCCCCCGCGTCCAGCGCGACGACAGCGGAGTGTCCAGCACGGACTTTCCCATGTCCGTGACCTGTTCGGCACCGAATCCTCGGGTCTGGGGTCACAAATCCGGTTGAAGTAGGGACCGGTTGGGCTCCCTAGGCCTCCAAGTACCTGCTGAGAAGGTGTTTGGGGTGGGTGCCAGGAGGGTCTAAGTACCTTTTGAGGAGGTACTTGGAGGTTCAGGGCTGTGAATGGAGCAGTTCCATCGGATATCGGGGGTGCTACGAGGGTGCCGTGGGACTAAACCCACCCCGACATGTGACTCCTGGAATGGAGCGTTTGGGTGGCATGGTGGCGCGGATGCCTGGAGTAACATGAAGGTGGGGTGAATTTTTGAGACGTCACGAGTCATGAGACGCGTGAACCAAATGCCTCCAGCGCCCTTTGCCCTGGGCCAACGAACGAAGAATCGATGTGCTCTGAGGACCAGTGTGACATCTCAGGGGCTGTTCAGGTGCAGAGCCTGTCAGAGGTCCAGTGGTTTGGGCTTGCCCTAAGAATCCTCGGACCTTCTCCCTCTAAGGTTTGGGGGAAAAGGACCTTCTCCCCCAAGCTTTTCCGGAGGTTCGGGCCCGGAGCCGTGGGAATCAACCGGACTGAACCAAACCCTGGCTGGATTGGATTGGTGTTGTGAGCTTCTCTTCTCGCAGGCGGAGGAGTGCAAGAGCATGGCGAGGGAAGACCAGTATTCCAGCATGTCCGGTGGCCCAGACGAGTGGGCTGACACTGTCTGCGCTGAAACAGCGAGGTTTGGGCCTTTCAGCGGAGGCGCTCAACAAAAAACACATTCGAGCAGAGTTCCAAGATCGATATGGATTTCGATGTGTTTGGGCGACTTGGACATCGGTGTCTCAAATTGGACCAATTTGGTGGGTCAGAAACCTCAGTGCTTCATGCTGGTTGACACCATCGCCACCCCTTCAAAAAACATCCTATCACATCCAATCACGGTAACTTGCGTATTCTCTGAGGAGGTGCTCTCCCTCCCCTCAAATGGTGATTTACCGGCTCCAAACAGTCCGACTGGATCCGGTCGTTTCCGCGTGGCGCCAGGCAGCGCATGTGCCAGGCCAGCTTCAAACCGCGGTCACCGGCCGGGTCGCCCGGGCGCCGTAGCCAGAGCCTCGCGGGTTGGGAGAAAACCACGTCAAACATCGCGAAGGGCACTTGTAATACCCAGACACTCCATGGGACATATGCCTACATTGGGGTGGTTTTGGGGGTCAATGTAGGCATATATTGCATACATGGAGTGTCTGGGATAGAGTTGTCTCCAGCCACTAAAAAAGATGACGAACAACGATGCTCACATGCCCGAAAAAGAAATTGGGATCAAGATCGCAAATCACCTAAGGAATACATGGCCTGTTTGAATCATCTCGTGATGAATTGACACACCGCACCCGGCCGTCTCAAGCTTGTCCGCACGTCCGAGGCCTTGGAGAAGAGCGCGGCACAAACGTCTGGAGTGCGGAACCCACGGAGCCGCGCGCGCTTTCCGCAGCAGAGATAAGGAAGTGAGAAGTGGCCCAACCAGGTGGGCCCCGAAAAGGGTCCACTCTGACCTGAATCATGGGGGTGACATGGGTAGTGCAATGGTATATATTCACACTTGCATTGAGCTTGCGGTTGCAAGTTTTATGTTCACGAAAACTCACTAAAATGTCCCACCGAGACATTTTGGCTCAAGTTGGGTGGCAACCTCGAGTGAGTTGCCAACTGTGATTCGGACACCTGTTTTCTGGTGCGGTTTAGGTACTTGGGATTCACCCATAGGCTTTTTGCTCTTCACGCCCATCGCAATGGCGCAGTGGATGGGGTCTGGGGAGGACCCATGCATCTTTCAAAGCACTACGACAAAAGGCTGCTTGCTGCTTTTGTTGCTTAGGGATGTTTTTGATTTTTGGGTACATATTCTATATATATAAAAAACTTTCATTGGAAAGAGCCTGTTTTCTAAATTAAAAAAGAGTCAAGAAAGTCAAAAAAAGGCAATCCCAAAAGTCAAAGTCAAAAAAGTCAAATCAGCAAATTTCAGAAAGTAAAAAAGTCAATTTGCCCAGATTTGACTTTTTGATGTTTTTTTTGACTTCTTATTTTTAGGACTTTTTTTGGTGACTTTTTTTGATTTTTTGGGGACATTTTTTCGACTCTTTATTTTTTGGACTTTTTTGTGACTTTTTCGAGCTGTGGTCTACGGTTGACTTTTTTTTGACTATTTTTTTTGTTTGACTTTTCTTGACTCCAGTAATCCGCCAAGGCGAGGAGCCACAGTTTTGACTTTTTTTTTGATTTTTTTCGACTTTTTTGGGATTTTTTTTTTGACTTTTTCCAGCTGTGGTCTATGGCTGACTTTTTTTGATTTTTTTTTGTGACTTGTTTTTGACTTTTCAATTTGACATTTTTTGACTTTGACTTTTCCAGTTGACTTTTTGTGACTTTTTTTTAAATCACGGATTCTGGCCTTACCATATGAAAGTTTTTTTATAATTCTATATAACATGGATCTTCCAACTATTCTGATTTTTTTCCAAGCTTGGCTTGGCTGGTTTCCAAGTTCGGCATAATTTTGGCACAGTTTTTCATGAACATGCAAGAACCCGGTTTGAGATATATGAGATCTATATTACTTGGGAGTGGTCTGACCATTCATTTTTGCCAAACAGTTTTTGCCATCAAGGGTCAAGGCTCGAAGCTGCAAAGCAATGACCCTCGACTTGGGATTTAGCCATGTTTCGCCGGAAAAACGGCCACTCCGAGTGGTTGATGTCAGGGGTCAATGTCTGACTCTTCCAGTCCCATGTGAGGTGTTTAAGTATTTTAAGTACTCTTGGAACCTAGGCATTTGAAGCAAAGAACACTTTTATTCACTGTGAACTCTCCAACAATTATCTGAGACTTCTTTTTGTGCCGCCCATCCCACCCGGTTCAGGTCCTTGTTCCGCTTCGACCGCTGCCAGCTTCATCCGATCTCTCCGTCCGTCGCCTCAGAGTGGACCGAACCAGGCAACTACATCCCCAACAAACCTCACCTGTCAAGTCCGGGGTGATACAACTTGGTTGGTGGCGGAATGGGTGCTTCATCGGGATACCATTCGAAGGTCCTGCCGTCTCATCTCGGCGATCCGGTCTAGCGGGCTAGCCCGGCCTTGACTCATGTGTACGAACATCGGAGACCTTCCCCCGTGGAAGGTTCGGAAAATCGACCTACCCATTGGTGATGAGGGGTTTCCCGGACCGAGTTTTTCATATTGCATTCTTCTTGGGCCAAGCATTCCTTGACCCTCCAAAGTATCTTAGAAAATAGGACTTGAGTTGATGCCCTTCGCACAGTGATTCTTCCATCCTCCAGTCGATGAACATCTTCCCAATCGGGAGGCCTGGTGTGCGGCGGAGATCCTCAAGTCATCCAAAATGCTTTGAAAGGGCCATTCATTCACCTCAGAAGTCCAGTTGACGAATCGAAATGCCCATGGATCCACAGCGATGTCAAGCGGTGGATCCACAGTCACCACCCTCTTGCACAGGTCAGGTCATTTCTTCTGCCCTTTGAGGGAACGACCATGAAAATGGGACTGGTTACTGGTTACACACGGACTGAGCCCATGAAAATGACATCATTTGGGTATGTCCGACGTGTCCTGTAACAGTCGGTAAAGAAGAACATCACGGTTTTAGAGATGGAAAGGCCTGCAACTGAACCATAATCATCCACTGGGCCCTGGTCATGGCCATATACCCAACCTATAATGTATATAATACATTATACTATACACTATTCCATACATGGATGGTTTGAAGTTCCACTTCGTATCCCTAAAAAGATCTGACAGCAGCTTGGAAGCAGCAGCCTCGACCAAGAGCGGTCGAAGCATTGGCATTTTTCGGGTGTTGGTCTAGCTTTATTGCCCTAAAGGCTCCAAACAGTTACCAAAGAAACTATACCAACACCCGAAAACTGCCACCAATGCTTCGACCTCTTGTCGAGAAAACAGGCCGACCGGTCCACGTTTCGACCATGTTCGACCACGTTCAACTCAGAGGATTCCTGTCCGGCCCCAAAGTTGGAGGGTCCAGGGTTGCGTTTGGGTGGATCTTTTCGTGTGTGGGGCGATAGATGTGATAGTGGGTGTGTATGAAATGACTTAGAGAGACCTCCCGACAGGCAATGACCATTTGGAAGAAGGGATAAATAGACGATATATAGCCAAAAAAGGGAGTCCCGCTATGGCACACATGGCAGACTGACCAGACTGACAAACCCAGACCATCCATGGGACTGCAACAGTTGTAGACGTTTACCCCCATTGGCCCTAACATACCCAGACACTCCATGTATGCACCCTAGGGATCCAAGTACCTCCTCAAAAGGTACTTGGACCCTCCAAACCCACCCCAAACACCTTCTCAGAGGGTACTTGGATCCTTAGGGGCAATATATACCTATCAGATTGACCCCCCCAAAACCACCCCAACTGATCGGCATATGGCAGTCCCATGGAGTGTCTGGGATACATACCCAGATGGTCTGACCCAAGCTGACCAGACTCGTTCGGCCTCAGATCCTGGCGAAGATGGTGCTTCCCATTCCGCAGCAGCCAGGCCGCGGCCGGGCGGAAGCGCTTCCGCGACCCCCCAGACTTGGGGGCGCCTGTGGTAGGGGGGGGACTTGGGGGGGAAGTGTTGATGGAAGGGTTTCAGAAATTCAGCCATATGCCCTGAGAAAACAGGCATGTTGACCTTGGCGAATCCTATTGAATCCCCTCAAAAATGTTTTAGAGATATACAGACCTAAACCACCTCATTTGAGCAATCATCTACCTGAACCTTCCAACGTACAATCGAAACTGGGTATCATGTGGTACCCCATGTGGTACCTGGTGCTTTGTTCGGGTCATGTCCTACTTCCGGTACCAACGGCTTCGTCCTGTCCGGACACCCAACGACTCCATGTATGTACGTAAGTAAGGGGTCATTTTTCATGGGGTAAAGGTGTAGCATTGTATAACATTCATTATGGGTCCACATACCCTTTGAGAAGGTGAGCAGGGAGACACTTATGTAGGCTTTGAGGGTCCAGTCATACCATCTGAGAAGGTACTGGATCCTTAGGGAATGTATAACATCGATTAACATCGTATACAGTAATTGTAGAACTCTTCCAGTCCCATGGTGTGTTTTGGTGAAACATGAACTCATGCACCATTGCCCATGGTTGCGCGTTTTAACAGCGCACAACCAACGGCGCAGGCTCTCCTCCGAGAAAAGGCCAGGCGAGTCTCTTTCAGGGGTTCTCTCCGGTGTTGGTGAAGATTGTGAGAATTCTGATCCAGTTGTTCCGTGACGGACAATTTCTGGGGCTCTTTATGTATATATTACAATCTACTGTATTCAATACGTACACTGTACTATTCAACTGTGCTAGGATGTGCTAGGTATATGTTTGAATTGGTCAAGAAATCGGCCTCCAGCCTAGCATCGCTTGGGCTCAAGAATGCCAAACGCAAGCGTCGACCACATTGAGGTCATGTGGATGAAGCTCTCCTGCACCAAGGATTGCGGTCGCCATCCTTAAGACCCCAAAGATCTTCCTTAATTTCTACCAGGTTGAGGTCACTTAAGCCTCTAAAGGGTTACCAGCTGGGAAGCTGGTCACGAACTGTCATCTTCAGCTGGTCGATCCATCGCGCTTTGACACGTTCGCCATGCGCGCTGGTCGACACCCCATGTCACTGCGATCCCGATGGCTGTGCTGCTCGCTTCTGGTCACCTGGTCCCTCTGCTTCGTGCCACTGGCCTCTCCGGGCGCGCAGTACACCGCGCCGCGCGGCGGGCGCGAGACCGCGCCGCGCACGAGGGGCGTCGTGTGGCGCCGTGCCATGGACTTGGAGGAGCGGCGGGCCAAGTGCCCCTTAACACGGGAGCAATTGGAAAGCGATCATGGAGAGAAGTGGGTGCCTTGGCCACTTTGGGAAGCATCATGGTGTTTTTTTGTTTGGAGAGGAACAGGTTGGTTTTGGCTCAGAAACCGGTGAACTGGTCAGAAAGGCGTTTTCCACAAACATGTTCTTCTTCTTCTTCTTCTCAGGATCCGGAGTCTGCGGTGCGTTTCTGAAGGATCGCTCAACTGGCCCAAGTCACCTCCAGGATCGCTCATCCACCTCCAGGATTCACGACCCCAAACGGTCCTGTGCGGTGGATTTTTTGGGGAACCCAAAACAGTCCATCCGTTTCTCGGATATCCTGGCTGGCCCCCCCAAAACCGACGGTTCTCTGGTTTTGTACCATCCGAAAAGGAGCTATGACCTGACTCTGGGGTGTGTTCTTAAGAGGATGAGGTGCCGACGTCTGTCGGATCAACTCACCACTCACCACTGGGTGAAAGTTCATGCGTACGGCATTGTGAAGGTTCACAGCTCATCCCACTCTGATCCTCAGGAAGACGTGCGCGACATCTTGGTGGGACTCCGCGCGACCTCCCCGGAAGCGATCATGCGAGTGGCCTGGCTGCCAGCGGAGCCTGGGGGGAGCCTTGGCCTAGCCTGCCTGGGCTAGGTGAGCAGCAAACCAAAGACGAAGCATCAGCACCACCAAGGACCACAGAGTGGATGGTCCCTCATTTATGTCATTCAGTTCTCGGAGCCCTATATTCCCTATGGATCCACAATGATCCACATACCCTTTGAGAAGGTCAGCAGTGAGACTCTCTTATGTAGGCCGGAATGGCGCCTGGGTCGTGTCCAGTCCTACCGAACCTGAGAAGGTGGATCCGTGGAATGTCTATGATAGAGAAAATCTCTTCGATGAGACGAACATGCTTTTGGGACATGGGGCCGGCCACGAGGCTCTGCCCTGGCTCGCATGCCTGGTTTCGGTGTCCAGAGCCTCACATCCTGAGTCCTCAGTGAAAAGTGACCCTTACAGGGTTTGGCACAGGACTCCATCCTGAGTCCTTAGGCCCTCCACGCCCCCCCCTGGAATAAGGAAGAACCATCGAACACCCGGTGGTTTCTCCAGTTCTTCCATGTTCTCCAAACAAATACGACACCCATCATGGGCGTGAGGCCATTCACCGCTGAGGCTCGATTTACAGCGTTGAGATTTCAAGATCCGCAGTTCTTGGCCTCCACAGACACCTGGTTTGGCAAATCAGGTGATTTTTTTTTCCATATACTGTACCAGGGCATACCAGGGCCCCCTTTTTGGGGTGGTTCATAGGCACGCATAAAGGAGCCATTATTGGACACCTTTTAGGGGGGCCCTGGTCCCTGGTATGGTTAAATCCTCTTCTGGTGCACATAATTGCACAATATTGCACATACCCTAGGCCTCCAAGTACCTGCTGAGAAGGTGTTTGGGGTGGGTGCCAGGAGGGTCTAAGTACCTTTTGAGGAGGTACTTGGAGGTGTAGGGATATTGGATACATCTTTGGTTTATTTCTTTCCAGCTTTCTCTTTGGCCAAGGAAAAGGATGAGAGCCAGTCGATCCGGGAGCGCTCCAAGCAGTGGTCCTACACATTGGGTCTGGAAGAAATGCCTGCGAGACTCAGACGACCCATGAGGGAGCCGTGACATCGGGAGACCAAGAAACCCCAGTAATACCTGGGGTGGGAGACTTCCCACCCCGTAGACTACTCTCCCGACTTCCCACCCAGTAAGAAGATGTAAGAAGGAACATGGATTGGTTCGAACCCAACGACCGGGGAGAGTAGTCTACGACAGAGTCTACGAGGTTCCGACCGCCTGGATCCATTGGCATTGGACGGTTCGACCCCACAGACTCCTGACCCAAGGATTCGGGTCTATGAGGCGACCCGAACCTGAGATGGGCCAGGAGGCCAGGAGGCCTAAGGGCGTTGTCACACAGTGTCACGCGTATCGGCTGGGCTATCCTCATGTTATTTTTAAATCAACTTCCAAGCGGGGAGAGAGATCTGCGAGCCGAGCCGAGCTGGATCCGCTCCAGCCTTTGGACCTCCGATTGGATTCCATCCGCCTTTTAGCATGTTCGTACATGGCAGCTACGACACACCGAGATCGGATTCCAGTTCGATCCTAAGGGTGGACAAGTTCCTGAACCTGAACAATGATGCCTTCAACTTGCAGAAGCCCATCTCGTTTGACGTGCTCGCCGCCGAGGGCGAGTGGTTGGAATTTCGAATCACATGTCCCTTGGGTCCGAAGAAGACATCGGTGGAAGGTCCTTCCTGGAGCATGTGTTATCCAGTCTCCAGTCTCCTGAGTCTTCTGGTCCAGGAATAGACCCGTCGCTAACATGGAGGGTAAAACTGGTAAAACCTTTTGATATCGGGCAAATGATGCTCAAGAGTCTACATGCCCTACGGATCCAGTCGTACCTTTTCAGGTGGTTGAAGACACTGTTATTATGTAGGTTTGGAGGGTCCAAGTACATCCAAGTACCTTCTGAGAAGGTATTTGGATCCGGCTGAGATGACACCGACTAACATTTCGATGTCCCCGACAACACTGGAGAACAACACTGGCTGCGTGGCTTCACAAGATCGACGGCGGTGAAGACCGTCTCGACAGGGAGACGCATCAAAAAACACATAGAAAGACACGAAGAAAGGACGAAATGAAAGAAGGAAGGAAGGAACAAAACAAGAAAGAAAGGAAGGAAGGAAGGAAGGAAGGAAAGCAGGAACAAAGGAAGGCAGGAAGAAAGGAAGGCAGGAAGGGCTAGCGGGAGGAAGGAAGGGAGGAAGGAAGGAAGGAGAGCAGGAAGAAAGGATGGCAGGAAGAAAGGAAGGCAGGACGGAGGGCAGGAAGGAATGTTGGCTTTCGGTGGCTTTTTGGACAAATGAGAGAGCCAGAGCCTGACAATTTCTGGCTTCCACTGTGAAATTGAAATGCGATGTTGCAAAACTTTGCCCAGATGCCCAGCGCAGAGACCATTGCAGTTGTCAAATGAAGATTCATTGGGGAAACTCCATGATATCTGTTTTTGGGTCGTGCCAAGTTACAATGCGGGGGAGGCGCTGCGCCCTCCCCCGCGCCCCTTCCCGCTTTTTAATTTTGAGCGTAGAAATAGTTTCGGGTATAGCTTTCTAGACTTAGTTTTTGGGTGGCAGTGGAGTTTGGCTTTTGGTGGCTTTGGCTTTGTAAGAGTTTTTGTATATCGAATTATATAAATATATAGGTTGATTTCCTGTTGGTTTTTGGATGCGTCTTGGGATCACTGCTTCGAATGGAATATGGCTCCCTCCGCACGTTTGGAGCCCGTCTCGACACGGCGAAGACCCTCAGGCGAAGGGAAGACCCTTTCGGAGAAAAGCCGCTTCATCCAAGACAGGACCGTCACCGAAGGGGAACGTCACGCCTCGGCGTTTCGGGCGGGTTTCGGACCCAGTGACGCGTTCCAGCTTTCCGCCAAGCCCCTTGGTTAAGCCACAGTATGCCACAGTAGCCTTTACATAAGTTTGTAGCTGATCTTCCAAACAGTGCCAACAAGAAGTGCACTGTTAGATGACTGAATTCTCAACGAATTGGAGCCGAAACCCAGCCCATGGGCCTCTTCATCCAGATTTGCCAAGAACATGAACGAAGAAAACCCAGCTGCTCCATGTATGGACTATTTATCCTGTTTACCTACATTGACCCCGGATCAACCACGCTGACATCGTGAATATCTACCTGGACCCGACTGAAGCAGGTGTTTCCCGGTGGCAAGTTCGGTGCCCAGAAACCGACCTGTTAGGGTCGCAAAACAGCCTGGCCAGGAGGGTCCTGGTATGGAAATATAGTATGAAATTGTTTCCAAGGTTCTATAAACTCTAGACAGTGTAATTTGGGAACCAACGTGACGAACACTGTTCACGTATCTTCATGTATTCATTGTTCAATTTGACGTAGGTCTTTTCTGACCACAAGCAGAAGGCGGGCCATTTCTCTCTCCAAAGCAAGGGCTTGTGTTGCTTTGCACAGGAAGTATGGCTGGGTCTACGGCGGCGAAACCGAATACAGCCGATGGACTTAATCCGCTGGACCCTGAAGCACATGGACCCTCATGCACTGACTTGCCTGATCTTGGCTGTGGGGTCATGGCACCCGTTTCGCCCGTTTCACTCCCTTCTCTGTGGACCTCCCGCAGGTCGTCGATTCACTTCATGTTCGGGAGAAACACACAAACTATGTAGGGTCCCCCCCGGTTGAAACAGCCACTTCAAGTTTCTGGAACATCCAAACACAGAGTGGTGCTGGAGACTAGCGGCCAGCTCCAGCGGCCAGCTTTCGCTCCAAAACGCGGATCGCGCAAAAGCATGTCTGCCGCGGGGTCCCGTCTGCCGCGGTTGAGTGTGGGTGAACAACAAGTAGTAGAAACCAAACGAACAGTTGGTCAGATCTTGGGTATTGTAGACTCTTGATTAATAACTCTCCCCCCATTTAGATTGAACAGCCTCTTCATGTGGGGGGGTTACGGGGGTTTATCGAGTCTACAATGACATTACATGTTTTTGGTGCAGACCATTTGGACCAATTACAATTGCACGATTGGATGGAAGTTGGCCAGGTGAGCTCAATCCATGGGACAGTGCTCCCAGCAGCAGAAGACGCGCCAGCAAGGCAAAGGAGGCACCGGTATTTCTGTATCTTTCTTTCCAGCACTGCGGAGTAGTCGCGAGACCTGTAGATTCCAGCTTCCCCCCTCCAGCCATTTATTCATGCTGAAAACTCCGGGCTCTTGCTTGATCCCAACGAAAGTCCATGCAAACGCACAGGGATGTTCCTTTTACCAAGCCAGCACCACCCAGTTTGGATGGTGGAATGAACATACAGTACAATCCTGGCATCCTACTGTTTCACGGAGCCCCCGTTGGGGTCTGACGTTTTCTTTTTTCTGCGCGGAAGGTGCATACCTGTGGCAACGCGATCTGCATGAAGCTGGCAGAGGCGGTTTCCTGACCTGGATCCGACCGATCTGTGGCATCGCTGCTAGGATCCAGGGAGCTAGACCCGAGTTGCGGGGTTTGTTTTCCACCCTCTACGAAGAATCATTCTCTTTCTGAGGTACGGATGGATCATGACTCCAGTTAGATCGGGGACGGAGTCATGGCATTGTTCGCCATCCTCAAATCATTCTTGGTGGTCCAACAGTGTGCCCCCCCCCAAAGTCTATAGTCTTCCTTCCGGCTCAGTTGGCTCAGAGTCAGGACCCCCACCCCCTTCCGACGGTCGGTTTTTGACTGAAGAAAAAGAGGTCACACTGACGTCGGGTCACGGGTCCGGACTGGTGAGAGGCGCGTAGCCAGGTGTCAGGAAGCACGACCGTCCTGACACATCGAACCATAGCATACCAGGGCCCTTCTGGGCTCCAAGTGCCTCCCCAGAAGGTAATTGGCATGTATGACTGCACCCTCCTGGCACCCGGGCCCCCAGTCCCACCTTCTCAGAAGGTACGACTGGAGCCCTAGGGAATAGCTAAATTGCGTTGTATGAAGAGAATCAACACGAGAACCATTGATTTGTTGGTTTCTACCTCAGTCCTATTTGTGTTCGGGTCATGTCCTATTTTCCTTCGACTCATACACCTTGTCACACCCAGCCGTGCTCATAAGACTCAGCCGGTTCGGCAGTTTTTGAACATACAAATTCCACGAAAGTTCGAATGAAAACGTACATCCAGGGTTCTCAGAGAAGACACTGGGCGCAAACATGCACGAACCGTATCCAGGGCGCGAAGCGCAAAAGAGGCCCAGTGGGTGCATGTGAGTCGGATGTGTCGATGTGAGTCGCAGATCGATTCTCAAAATGAGGTGGGAACTGGGAACTTCTTTTCGAGGCTCCCGGGGATGCGAGAAAAAATTAGAAAAACACAAGTTGTATTAATGTATGTTTTTTCTCGACTAAAACAGCCTTAAGATTTGGTTTGCTACATCCCCAAATCTTTGCAAGCTTGCAAAAGGATCAGTTCCATTCCCGTAGCCTTCACAAAGTGGCCCAAACTGGGTCTGCTGGGTCACCCAAATTCAGAAGAAGAACCTTGAGTCTCAGTTTGTGCCTCGGAGCATGAGTACAGTTGTACCATGTCGTATCTGTTTGTTCGGGATTCGGGTCATGTCCTATTTCTAAGGCACTTGAAGCCCGGTCCAGTAAGAAAAAGATCCAATCTGCGGCTCCAGCCCCAACAGGCATCAGGGTCTTTCAGAGACAGTCCTGCAGGAATTGAAGAACAAACAAATACCGCCGAAGGCCACTGAAAAACCACGGCTTGCGGAACTTTGGGGACCCTGGAAGTTGAGTTGGGAAGTTTGTGCCAACAAGCTTAGCCGACCTCTGCTGGCCTGTCAGCTGAAAGGGCATGTATAAAAGATGATCTTCTTGTTCACTTGAGCAAGTGAACAAGATAAACACGTTAGTCCACGGTGCGGGTGACGAACATGAAAGCACCGTGCAGCACTGTTCATCTAATCCTAGGATTGGGATCGACTTGGTAGAGTTTCAAGACGCAAACTGCCATCTCCTTTAGTTGCAAGATGTTGCAATTAATTGGAATCAAGTACACAAGAAGTGGGTCAAGTGGAAGACAGAAGAAGCTAGAAGCTTCTGTGTGGGGGGTGCCCCTGTCAGAATTCACGGCCCCATCCGATGGGATTCCAAATCACCCCAACTCCACTGCTGGTAGATGGAAGATGATGGAAGACGGAAGCTTCTTAGATCCTCCACGGATGTTCTCCCGACCTGCCTTCTGGACCTGCCTTCCCAGCGCCGACACGCGGCGTTTCGGTGCACGCGTGCCGGCGCCGCGTTGCGTACGCGTGCCACCATGGCCCTCAGCATCTGGGACCGACTGGGATGGGGCGGAAGACTCGAGACAGGACGGGGCGAGAGGAGCTAAGAGTACTTCGAAAGAGGAGAGTGGGGAGAAGACCTCCAACTACCTTGTCAGAAATGATTTGGACCCTCCTGGCACACACCCGGGCCCCCAGTCCCACCGATTCTCAGATGGTATGACTGGAGCCCTATAGGGTTTGGAACTTCCTGGTAGACTTGAAGATGAGAACGTCGATCAGATCTATACACCAAGTCTCCGAATCCCCAAATCATAAGTCGACATGTCATCATGCACAGCTTAGCAGAACAAGTCGAACTGGCATCATCTGTTGCTTCAGGAGTGCCTTGCAGTGCGGAAAACATGCAAAAGCACTAGACTACCAAGGAGGTAAAGGGCCAGGTCTGTCGTTGGACTTGTAGGGTTTGGGTACGGCATTTGGCTTGGTCTTCAGGTGTTTGCCTCCCATTTCACTACGTCTATCTTTCGACCATCACTTCGTTTCCACCGTTCTGGAAGAATGGCCCAACCACCGTTCCACCATTCGGACCGGTGGCCCAACACCGGCCGTCTACGACCACCGTCCTGGTCGACCGACGACCGACCTCCTATTGACCTCCGTTGAAAGGAATCACCGCACCTTCGGACGTGGCGGACGGACCGTGGACGGACGCGCCACAACGTGGCGTGGAAGGGTTTGGTCCATGAGCGTTCTTGGAACTCCGTTCGGTCCATGGACATCTCTGCCCTGGGAGTCAAAGACTATAAAAAGAATGGTCTGACTAGGGAACCTGAAAGGGAACTTCCTTTACTTCAGCCGGTCAAAATATAGTCGAACTGGACTTCTAGGGTCTGGGTGTCTCTTGGTGGTCGCTACGACTGGGCCCCCCCCAACTGGATGTTCTTTTCGAGGGACGAAGCGGGTCGACGAAGCGGGTCGACGAAGCGGGTCGTATGGCCCATGTCGCCTGTCGAGTTTGACAGCCCAAACTCGACTTAGAGTTCTTGAGAAAGGCCTTTACTATGAAGCCCTAGGACTCCAACTACCTCCTGAGAAGGTGGTTAGGGTGCCAGGGGAGTCAGTCCCCACCGAACCTGAGGATATGGGCCAGGAGCCCTATAGGGCCCTGGGGACCATCAACATCATCCAGAAAGGCTCTGGGTTCCTGGGACATAACCCAGGCGACTCACTCGACTGAGGTATTCTTACGCGCCGGCTGCTCTTCTGCTTCCTGCTCATTTGGGTTCCTGGGACTCTGCACACGGTCAGGGCATCCACTAAGCTCGACCAGGGAAGAACACAGCACTGAGGGCACCCAGTGGCCAGACCATTTGTAGCTCATTTTTTTGAGGTTCAGTTTTGTTTAACACAAATAAACATGCCCAGTGGCGGGGCACTGGGAACACATCTTGCACTCAGGGCGCCAGTGGCCAAACGAAGCATGGGTTCCCTCTTGGGGTTCTTCAAGGCATTTAGACACATGTTGCGCTGGATTCCAGTCCATTGGAGCTCGGTTTTGGGTGACCTTTGTGCGACATCAAGTGCTAGAGGCACAGTCAGACGGTTTTGGGTATGGACAGAAGGCTGCTGATTTAGCGACTCAAAGCCTCCCAAGAAAGACAGCTAAGTGGATGATATTGCTGGGCTTGATCGCCCAAAGCATAATTAGTTGTAGTTGTCCCAAGCTCTCACCAATAGAGCACACCTTCATTTTCCAAACCCTGGGTTGAGTCGGTTGAGAGAGTATGATTAGGACGGGTCTGACCCAATCTCAAGATGGGGGCAGAGTCCAAGATTCAACCATGTTGAGGGAAGATTGAATCAAATCATCAAGGCAGTTTTGTCATGATGCGAAGGGCGCACAAGGCCAGAGAGGCCGTGTGAGCAGGGGTTTACAGGACGCTGGCCGTCAGCTTTTGCGGGTCAATCTCCCATGATCTGGATTTCTTCCTGCTGAGGCGGGTCTGGTGATCTATCTCTTTCTAGTGCACCAGGAGATGGCTCTGGTTTTGTTGGCAGGTTGCGGCAGGTGTCAACTTCTGTTTGGACTTCGTTGACTCTGCAGGAAGGCCCGGGGCCTTCAGACGACCAGTGCATGTGATGAAGATCCTGGGACATCCCCTGAAACCACGGCCATCATAGGAGCGTAAGGATGCTACGAACGGGGCTCCTGGCCATCTACTAGGAGCAATCGGCTACTATATTCAAACCATGTCGCCAGTCGCCAGTAGGAACCTTTTGTATGCCCCTGGCCATCCGCAAGGAGCAAGTCAGCCATGAAGCGACCAAGCACCAGCAGGCGGGTCCGTTCCACAGCCTTGCTCCGCGATGCCAAGTGTTCCGCTCTAGTGCTGCCTTTGTGTGTGCGCGCCGCAAATCCTGCTTGCTTTACCTTCAAGATCGTTCATTTGGGTCCACCTGATGTTGATGTTTGGGGCCTGGGTGCAGAACACCTGCTCTCAAAGTTCCTTCCTTGTGAACCTGTCTCAGAGCCGCTGCCAGCGACCCATAGCGACCCATGTCGACCCGTCTCGCGGATGCACCCCGTGCATCCACCGCAACCGTTCGCACTTCTCAGGAGTTCTCAGAAAGAAAGGACGCAGGAATTCTTTTGCACATGGCTATTTATATACCTCACACCTCCAACTACCTCTGGGGTGGGTGCCAGGGGGGGTTAGTCCCCTCCTTCTGAGGATATGGTTGGAACCCTAGGGACAGATCAAGCAGAGGCGATGTTTGGTACCATGTAATTATGTAGGTCCAGTCCGACTTAGGTCCAGTCTCGTCCTGAAGCAGACCTCAGCAGGAGTCGTGTTTTGGAATGATCACCTCCATACCGGATCCACTGCCCTCGGTGAGGACGGAGACACTTTGATGGGTCTTGGAGAGTCCAGTCATACCGAACCTGGAGCCATCATGGGCCATCATAATGAGGTCCAACGGACCAACTGACCTGTATCCCTTGTAGGCGGGGAGGTCTTTGCATCCCTTGACCGATCGGGAGTTTGGAACCTCTGAAGAGGTGAGCTGGGAGCAGCGGCTGCATTTATGGCAGCATAGCCAGCGCAGGCGGGAGTGAAGTCATTCGCTTTTGCTAGGTATTGGCCGGAGCTGGGCGCTGTTCTGATCAACAGGGGAGTATCATTTGGATACAATTGGCGATTTGTGCTTGGAGTTCAACTTGTATAGGTTCTGTCCCATTGACCGTGCCTGTAAAAGACCATGTCTGCGTGTGAATCTTCGGAATGAGGCCCCCTACCAGCCATCGTCCACAATTTGCACGTAGGAATTGCAATTTTACTCTTTCTACAGTTGGCCCAACTACCTGGACCTCCACGTCGGGGTGCGCCAGGAGATGAGATCCATCAGAGTAAGGGCTTCCACCAGAGGTGACCCTTTGACTGGGTCTCACGCCGCTAGGAACAACAGCTGGGCAGGACCCTGCACACGCTGCGAAGAAGGCCATGTTGCGAACGAAGCCTTCACGGACTCCGGTTGCGGATCGCTGGCGAGGAAAGTGGACTGCGGATGAGGAGGTCTGACGTGACGATGGTTGACTGTTTGTGATGATGTTCCTCACATCAGGCTGTCATCACATGAGGGATGATCAGATCCAACATAACACCATAACATCTGTCGTGATGATCCCTTATCCGTAGGGATCCACTGAGACTGATCCACTTGGTATGACTGGACCCTCCTGGCGACTGCCTACATGTCTCAGTGTCTCCGTCCTCACCGTACCTCAGACGGTGGTAGTGGATCCATAGGGTTTGGAGGTCTTTGCCCCATTCGAGGTAGAGAGAAACACATCCGAATGACCCAGGATCTTTGTGGGTTCATTAATCTGACCCCACGCAACAGTCACAAGAACAGGGCGGAGTTCATGCGGAAGAAAGCCGGTCTTTGGTCCACCACGTCGAACCCATGGGTCGACTCCACGGGGAGACGACTCCGCGCGCGCGCGCGCGCGTCCGACTCCAGAAAACACGTTCACCGGAAGAGTGAGCTCACGAGCGCAACCGGGGTGCTTCTGCAAGGCCTTCAAGTCTTGAAAAGATTTATAAAGAACATCACAATTGCTATGTCTGATGGAGTTACCATTCAAGTTGGTCTTTTCATGTCTTTCCTATTTCATTGCTCCTTGAGAATTCAAGAAGCGATTCCTGAACCATGCTGTCAGAAACTCAAAAGCGCTGTGTGGGATGAACCTTTGGTGCAAATGCGCGGTAAGGGGTAAGGGGTGTGGAAAGGACCTGTTTTTTGGACTTTGGAGGTGTGAAGGACCGGCTTCAACCCATTTGGGACCAGAAAACTCTACCAGCACCACCCAGTTTGGGTGGTGATTGGATGGAAAAGAGATGGACAATACATGGTGAGGGGGGGTCTATGAATCATTATGAATCACCCTAGCCCTAATTAGGTTGTGTTGGTATCATAGTCCATCCCATTCCATAGTGGCTATTTGGGCCAAAGGCCGTCTTTCATAAGGTCATTTCCAGCATCGCTCAATCCTAGAGCCGCCCATTTCAGCAGGTGCCTGCTGCTGGGAGCTGCGCAACCGAGTACTGCGCGCCGAGTTCACCGACCGGCCTGGGAGCCCAAGCGGGGCCCTGGCGGCCAAGACGACCAAGGTCCAAGCCACCCGAGGCCGGACGTTGTTTGGGACTGTTTTGCCCCACCCATAGACGATCCCATAGACCCTGAGAATTGAATTCACCCAGACCGCTCCGTGAAAACAGCTGTCTCCTGGTCCCGAACCAAACCATGGGGATTGGTGAGAAGGTCCAGACCCCTCCAGAGGAGTCGGGTCTGACCCCTTCATATGAGGGTCCAGGGTTTCGTCTGGGCATGACATTCCCCCACCCAGTGGTTTCGGGGTTCATGCAGTCCTTTTGCAGGCGAGTACACCCCAGGGATCCATAGTAATGACCTGGTCATTGGACCCTCCAAGAGCGACCGCCTACATCAAAGAGGGTATCGTATCTATGTCATATATCGGGTGGTTGATTTCAGGTCGAGATCTGGGGCGGTCCCAGACAGGTCTTGGGAGGCCAGTGACCTGGGAGTGCACCAGTCCGGTGTCCGCTGGAACTCCACGTGCTTCCCATTGCTCGGCTCACAGCCCGGCTTCGCAGTGTTTGAACTCCCCAAACCCAAACACTCCATGGGACTGCCAGCCCGGACTGCCAGCCCATTGACCTCCTTTCAACAACCACCCCTGGCCGTTTCTCGGCATCGCAGTCCCAGACGGGTCGTGTCTGGGAGTAGTGGGTCGAGGCATTCCGGTGTGCCGGACCCCAGACCCGACCATCACCGGGACCGGTCGGTCAAGGTGAGTGAAAAGAGTTCAGCGCAGACCACGCCAGTGGTGACTAGACGCTCTCAGGGTCGGTGGTCGCCCCCCCAAAAAACGTGCAAACCAACCGCTGGGAGGGACGGCATGGAGGTTTTGGGCACCGTTTGTCATGGGCACAGATGCAGGTGAAGGGCACAGATCACGGAGTGGATCCAGTTTTGAAGCTATGCTTCAAGTGTCACATCATACATGATCTGCTGTCCAAAGAAGGATCGACATCGGAACATTGAAGACTTCGTAAGGTTGGAGTTCCTCTTTCTCGGTGGTCGGAGAAGTGTCCTTGAAGGTGGGATGTCTTCCAAAACAGACGAATTTCCAGAGAGACAAGATGGAAATGACCTCAACCTGCCCCAACTGCAGCACTCCATGGGACCGGAATAAACAAGGTCACGCCCCAGAACGACTCTTGCCTTAAGCACCCCAACTGGTAGATATGCTTTTAACATTTTTTAAACATGCCATACATGGATGGTTGGGGCAAGTAACCCCAACTCCCAGCCTAGTCTTTTCCAGTTCTCATCAGAGACCCTATACCACCTAAACACGCCGCCTCTAGACACACAAGCTTCCCCACCCCGAAGCTTCCAAAGCTAGTAGGTTGGAGGCCATCGCAAGTAGGTTGGAGGCCATCTCTATTAGTGCCACCCCGAAGCTTCCAAAGCTGGCGTGTTTGGTCCATCCGATGTAGGCCGTACCTGCAGTGGCGGAGCTTTCAGCTGACGGACGAGGCACTGCATCTGCCGGCGCGGAGCCCGGGTAGTGTTCGGCCCAACGGTCTAGGGTGGATTCAAGGCACTCAGCTTCTTGGGCTCGACCTCTTGGCAGGGGCCGGACCCGACACCGAAACGCAGGGGGAAAAGGGCCCCTTCACCAAACCCTATCTGTTTGATACATTGACCTTCCTGCGGACGGGCCCACAGGCCACGTCCAGGACCCCAAACATGACCGTTTGCCGGGGGTACAGCATGTCCATGGGGCCTTTATATCTTGGGACAACATATGTGTTTGGTGTATTTACATCATAACTAGATTGATATTTACATATGTCCAACATAGAATTCCTGACACATTTAATTGTGCATATCCATTGCCTTGCGGAGCCACAGCCCCTCTATGAATGTTCATGCACACCCAAGCTTGGCCGGAGTCTCCACTTGGGATCACCAGGTTCAGGGGGTCTCTTTGCGCATTGGACTTTTAGGGTTTTTGTGCACAAAGAAGACAAGTTGAAGATGGCTGTGATGAACACTTGTGGCTTTCTCGGGCATTCTTGAAGTACATGGGATGGTGCTTTTGGTGACTGTGATGTACGAACGATGCAATTACTTAAGGAAGGACTCTGGGACTCAACCTGACATCTTTCGATCTGCTTAGACTGAAGACTGAATTCATCAGTCGGCCGCTCACCGATGGCAGACTGATGCACAGACTGATGTGGTGGCCTTTTCGTCAAGCGCGAAGTGAGGTTGCGACGTTCCCACTCTTTCGGCTATTGCCAACAACCCAGGCTGTGGACTGTGGAGTGGATATTTGTTATTTTTTCGACCCAGATCCGAGAAGGACAGGCTACCAAGTGGATCAAAGCATCAGGGGCTCCACCAGTTGGCCTACTCATTAGAGGAACTGAGGCCATAGAGAGGAACTCCTTAAGATGTCATCAGTTGACTTCTTGGACAGCACACATGAGTCAAGATGTCCTGGACGATATCCCAAGCACAGGATGTGTCATGATGTTTCGATGTCATGGATGAACAACACTCAGTGGACGACTCATTTTGTTGAAGAACTCAGCACAAATCCCAAGAGACAAGAACTTCAGAGTATTTGCGTGTGGGTCAAGACGTGCATGAGCCAAACACCTAACCGCCTTGCAAGCTGGTCACCGCCGGAAGCTGCTTGCCAAGAAGCGGGGGGAAGTTCTCAAAAGCAAATCAAACATCGACCAACTACTAGTTTGCCTGACACAAAACGGCTAGGCACAGCATATACAAAACAGGGGTATGCATTTGGGCCCATTGGTTGGTGTCTTTTCATGTTCCTTTGATTGAATCAGCTTAGAGATCAGGGATGGGTACCCTCCGCGTCACTACCATGGAAGTGGAACATGCTCCCTGGGAAGACTATTGATATCCTCTACAAACACGGGGGTCCGTTATGTACATTTTCCACTTTCATGTGATGTGTTCGTGGGAGATCGTGGGAGTGTATATTCAATCGGCCTTTCAACGTCAAAGCTATAAAGCTTCAGAACAGGACCTTGACTGATGATGATCTAAGCTTGCTGCTTACCCCTTGTGGTCAGTTTCTGGTTAAGCAGTGCAGGCCACCTTGTTCGGAGGCCGCGCCTGCGGCTGCAGTGCACGTGGGTGGTTTTGTAGTCCAAACATGTGCAGCTCGCCAAAGATGACGACAGGCCACCTACGAAGTGCTTCCCATCTACCCTCCAACAGGTCTCCTCAATGGAGGCTGAAATGGAGACTTCAAAGTGGTAGTTGGTGACCTGTTGATCGTCGGGTGCTAGTATGCACAGCACATGTTGCCCTAAACACCACCGGGATCCATGTGAAAAAACTCGCGGTTCCATGTTTCAGATCCCTTCAGATCCAGGATTTCAGCTGCAGCTTGCAGGACCGAGTCACGTCGCCTGTTTCGCTCATGTGTTTGGATGCAGGGGATGGATTCCTGGATGGACCATCATGAACATAGCCTAGGGCTCCGACTACCTCCTGAGGTTCGATGGTTGGGTGCCAGGTCTGTCTAACCTTCTGAGGATATGGGCCAGGAGCCCTAGGGATATACCGAGACCCAAAGGGATGGTGTTGGAATCCGCTTTTAGGTGGATGCCTATTCGGCATACCTTAGCACATCCTTATCACCACCAAGCATACTGGACAGGGTCTGCTGGTACCTGGATCTTCTGTTTTGCAGAAGTTCGCGCTTTTGCATCCATCAACACCAGCCGTTGATATAAACATTCTGCCCAGTTGAAAGATCCAGCTGCACTAGACCCCTCTGTTCCATCGTTTTTGGGGACCAGGGACAGGTGCGAAACCGTGAAACCAGCTGTCCAGCTGGCCTAGCAGGGCAACCGTGCCATGCGAACGGAAGAGATTCACCGTTTCGTCCACCCGAACGAAATCGGGAATCATTTGCGAGTGTTTGGAGAACCTTTCAAATCGATTGTGGATACGACCCTGACCCTGGACACTCATTGGGAGGGATTGGACCGGGTTGGGGTCGAACCAACCCCTGGATTTTGAGGGAGAGGGGCTGTTTGCAGCCGCAGGCGAGTAGGTTAGCAAAGGTTAGCAGTTAGCAGTTAGGCAGGGTGTACTGCACATGGCATATGAATTGACATGCAGCTACTCATAGCCACTCTGACCCATCTTGTACTGCCCCTTCGTTTCAAACTCGCGCGACACGGAGTTCTGCACCGTTCAGGGAGTGCGGAGAAACGGATCGCTCTCCCTGGAGTTCGACCTCAGTCACCTGCCCTCACAGAGTTCAGTTGTGACTCCGTTGATCCCGGTAGTGGTGTTGATGATCCATGAGCATATCTCATACCCCGACGCTCCGTGAGAACAGCCGTCTCCTGGTCCCTCAAAACCTATAGGGATTGGTGAGACCCTGGTACCCCTCCACATGAGGGTCCATGAGTATATCTCTCATAAAATCTGGTTGAACTTCAGAAGGAAACCATAGGACACCCCGGAATCCATCTTCCCTGAAATTGAATCCATGGATGAATCCGTGTCAATTGAATCCGTGTCCAAACGGATGCTCCTCCAGTCGCACGGTGTTCTCGGCTGCGTTTTCAGCACGGTGGGACGAGGTGTGGATCTGTGTGGCACAAATTCCGTTTGACCAATATCCCGTGGCTGGCCTCCCTTGTCGTACCGAACCGGGTCGGTTCGGTGGGACGACCGGGGCCCGGGTGCCAGGAGGGTCCAGTCATACCGAACCTGAGGAGGTACGACTGGAGGTGCAGGGTATATCAATTCCCGTTCGTATATACAGGTTCGTATCATTATTGATTGTTGAACAGTCTTGCACGTGCATGTGGGTCTTGCAAATGATGGTGTCACATTCCCTTTTTTTCCCACGTGCATATGTGCCGCGGGTCACCCAAAACTACCCTAAACCCTAAACACCAATCCCGGAATGGGTAGACCCCTCAAGTTGGCTGGACTGGATCCACAAGACGAGAAGGGCTTGGCTGCGCTTAGATTGAAAGAAGTGGGACCCAGCGCGTAACGTCACCAAGGCAATATTGGATTGAATCATGTTTTTAGATTCAAATGTTTATGACAGCAGGGGACAGGTGCAAGATGGTGGCTTTCTATGTCAATGATAGATGTTTTTCTGGTTTTTGAAACCCCAAACTCCTCCTCCCTGACAAGCCCCGCACCCTTCCCATCCCGCACCATCTCAGGTTGTGATGCTGGTTGGCAGGTCATCTTCCGGGCCCACTTGCGGCATGAGGACTGCGCCCGAGACTGACCTGCCCCACCGAGCGAGGAGCCCGTGCAAGAGCCAAGACTGACAGCCGCGAACCTGGTGACCGAGCCCGCCCCAAGAGCCAAAGATAGACCGTCGAATGTATCAGGACCTTCCATATTTTGCTATCTATGACTATAGCTCCTATACCAGGACCCACAGTCGGGGTGGTTGATGGACACCCCTTAATCACCTCCTGGCCGGGGCTATCAATGGAAGCCCCTTAGGGTGTCCTGGTCGAGGTGGCCATCGGGGTGTCCAGCTCCACCTGGGCTCCATGTTTGGTTCGCTCTCTCCGGGTCGGTCACGGTCATCCCGACCCATCCAACGGGCAACGAATTGGCGGCGAAAACGGGGTCGAGAAGCTTTGGGGTGGCATTTTTGGTGCCGCTTTTGTTCTTAATTGTTAACTGTTGTTGTTGTCGTCCGCGGAGTGTTTGGGTAGAGGCCAGTGGGACCTCGGTTTACTGGGGAAGAGTGGATCACCTGCCAGGGGGATTGGGGAGTTCCCACTGGACAAGAGCCGGTGGAAAGTTCGGGAGTAGGAAGAAGGGAAGTCTTCAAGAGAGAGAGAGAGAGAGAGAGAGAGAGGAGAGAGAGAGGAGAGAGAGAGAGAGAGAGGGGGACAGCACAGACTTCCAATTTGGTGCCCTGAAAACCCAGGAATGAGTGGAATCATCTGGGCATCACCCTGAACAGACTCCGATAGGCAGGAGCCACAACCCGAGAGGCGTTTGCCCTTGGCTTGACCGACCTCGGATTGATGGGTGGTTTTGCACTTCATGTTTAAACCTGGGGGTGGTTCAAGGGTCAATGTTATTATAGATGATCCTACACTGGGCTTGGCTACTATGGCAAATAGAAATGACACATCCCCGAATGTTCACCATCTTCAAGGAATACGACCCAGGACCCGAACCGGCTGATTTTTGGGGTGGAACTTCAACTCGGCAAATCCCAAACACGTGGCACAGTGAGCCTGTGGCATTGGGCAACAAGCAAAGACGTGCTTTGGCGCTTAGAATGCTGAGATACGACAGCGGTATGATAGTCGAAGCGCTTGGAGATTTTACACAAACACTTTTGGTGGTTTACAGTCCAATAGGTGGTATATCATATATCAAACACGATTGCACTTCGGTTCCCATTTGTGTCGTATGGGCTGTTGTTTTTTTTTCTCATGCAGGACTCTCACTACATGCGTTTCAAGGCAGGGAGACCCTCAGCTGGGACTTGGGACTTGCAGCGGGCCTGAGGAGAGACCGTGACCAGAACTGACCCTACACCGACTTCGTCGTACCGAACCGAAGAGGTTCGGTACTCAGGACCCGAACATGGCCCCCGCGCCCCGGTCGTCCCACCGAACCGGTTCGCGCTTCGGTACGAAAACGGAGACCTAGGATGAATGATGAAGTGGCTTTCGGTGTCCTGAATGCGAGCTAGGCTTTCGGCGAGCGATTGAACAAGTCCCAATCCCCATGATGGGCTATACAGAATTACAGAATAATACCGAAAAGACCTTCCATGATCTTCCAACTGTGCAACATGTGTTGCCTAACTTGGCTGGTTCTGCAGATGAAGTTCGGCAGACATTTTGCAAAGATGGAAGATCCAGGTAGATGGATTTTCCAGAAAATACCACACAGATCCTCAAGGTCCTCATGGGGTGCTGGATGTGAACTTTGCCCAGCAAGCGTGATGAAATCATGTGGCCAAGCAAGAGGCGCAGAACCTCATGTCACAGAATTTAGACTTCAGTCGACCTGTTGGTAGCTCGGAACATACAGTACCAGTCAGTACATAGCCTGTTTGTTTGTTCGGGTCATGATCCCATTTTCGACTCCGTCCCTGCCGTGAACCGTCCCTGGGTCCGTCCCCCCTGCTGTTCGGTTCGTCCGTGCTGATCGGGGCGTCCCGGTGCTTCGTTCAGAAAAAGGACCTGTTCGCTTCGCGGAACGAATCTCCTGATGACGGCGCCGATCCGGAAGCCGAACGGAGCCCTATGCTTGGACCGAAACCAGCTGGTTGGACTGTAGGGTGGAGGCACTACAAGACCCAGATCGTTTCCATTTGAAACATGGTGAACAACGGACTTTAGGGTGGTCGCACTGGTGCCGAGACGGTCGAATGACGGTCTGGGAGTGTTCAAGACACATGATTGGTTGTTCAGTGGTCCCAGTTCTGTTCAGATTGCTGCAGATTATTGGAATGTTCCGAAAAAAACAAATACGAGAGCAAGACCATCCCGGCTTTTGACCCCTTAGTCAAGATGGTGCGAAGAAAATAGCCTCCATGCCGATGGCCAGGTGCATTTGGTGCACTCGGAAGATGTGGTGTGGAAAGGTGGTTATAGGGAGCAGGCAGCTTAGTGAGATGGGAGCACATGTGTTTGACTGGCTCAACTGTATGTAGTTCTTGGTCACTTCCGTGCTCTCAAAAAAACAACGACCGCGTTTTCATAAGATGTCCCAGGCTTGGATATTTCTACTGAACAGGTTGTTTTGTTGAAAGATGCTTCTTGATGAACTGCTGCATCTCACCTTTTCTTCAAAGCATCGCCTCCTGGAACCGCCCGCCGTCAACGCGGGGGTGCGAGCGGAGTGGGCGGGCGACGCATCGCAACTGAGGTTGCATCTCTGGAAGCTGCATGGCTCCTTGGTGATGTTTCCCTAGGGCTCCTGGCCCATATCCTCAGGTTCGGTGGTTAGACCCCCGTGGCACCCACCCCAACCATCTTCTCAGGAGGTGGTTGGAGCCCTAGGGTTTGTTCCTTTTTGCACTCGACTCCTTCGGGTGTGTATGAAACGACAGGGAGTCCCACACGTTCCCGCCGCTGAGGCTGGCTTTGGTTCGGGAAATAGATTTCGGGGAACACCTGCACCAAAACCGAACCAATCCCACTCGTGACTGGTGGTCTGGGCATGGTGCTGTGGATGCTGATCGCACCTGAAGCCCTCGAAGAGTTTGGGTCGTGGCACCGTTTTTCGGTCTCCGTGTGTCGCTTTTGATGTCACCCGTCCCACCGGTCACCGCCCTCGTCCCGAACCGGTCACCGGTCAGCGCGCCAGCGGGTGAACGAGTCCGCCCGTGGGTCATGTCGTGGACAAGCGAAGTCAGCCCGTTTTCACGAAGAACGGGGAAGGGATCCAATTTCGGATCTCCGGTTTTCGTTGAACAGCAGTCCTGACTGCTGAGAAGACTTCACTTCCGACTTCCGCACATGAGCATGAAAGAACGCAAGTCGATTGACAATCACTTAGTTTTCTCTTCAGGTGCACATGGTCCTCGATCGCCCTCGATCAACAATTTCCTATACCAAACAGCTCCTTCTTGGCTTCAGCCGAGGTTCGAGCCATGTTCAGGAGACCAAGCTTCCACAGAATGAGGAGGATTCGGCCTGGGAGCTCGTGAAACCGCTTTGTCTCGTGGGTCGACTTGTGGACCGAGGTGGCCCTTCCCCGTCGATTCTCCGTGCATTCCCCGTCCGGATTCTTTGCATCACATCAGGACACCACCGGACCGGGACACCAGGACCGGACCGGGTGACCTGGTGTGTTTGGTCCGAAGCGGACGCTTGTTGAGACCCGGAAAACACGGGAAAAAACGTGCGGATCATCGAAAAAGTGGAACTAGAGGCAAAGGCATGCAAAGGCCAAATTACAGGCAAATACCTGGTTTTGCTTATAGGGATATATTACATGTTGTTATTGGGTCGACATGGATCTGATGGGTTTCATCACGGGCTCCATCCCCTTCTGCGTTTTCTTCTGTTTGTTTTCCCGGTTAAGGAACCGCCAATCCAAGAACCGGTGTCTGGGATCGACCACCCCGGCGAAACGCCAAAACCTCGCTCTCGTATCTTCGAGTAAGGGTAATTGCGGGAAGAAGCCGGAAGAAGCCAATACACGGCGAATGTCCGCAAAGGTCATGTAGTCTCTGGATGAATTCATCCTCAGCCCTGAACCCTCGGGATCCAGATACTGCTCAGAAGGCACTTGGACCCTCTTGGCACCTACAGAACAGTGTCAAACACATCACCTTCTGAGAGCGTATCTGGATCGATAGGGGAAGGTTTGATGGTTTTACAGTTTTACACATTTTCGGTGCAGTGTCTCACGGCGACATGAGCCAGAGTGGTTGAAGAGGTTTTACATGGTTTTACCATGTTTTACCATCCATGTTGGAAGGGGGTTATAAAACAAGAGTCTATACATTGTGGAAACTGATCATAATTAGTATTTCCCAGACACTCGGTGGGACTGGAATACAGACCTTCATTGACTCCTTAAAGCGCTTAAATCATCTTAAATCAACCACCCGGATGTAGGCCAATATGCCAGTCCCGTGGAGTGTTCTTTTTTCGTCTAAGTCCAAGAGGAAACGCAGGACGACGGTGTCCACTTCGGCCCACTGTGAAGCTTCTCGGCACAGCTGAAGCGCCACAAACACCTTGGAAGCGGATCGTTTTACGTTGTCCCACGCACTGAGCTCGTGAGTTCGTCAGCTCAGACAGAAACGGGCCCTGCATGTTCGAAGAAACGGTTTCTCCCAGCACAGGAAAGAAAAACAAGTTCTCCCCAGGTTCGGGTTATTGGACCCTCTCTTGGGAGGACTGGTGATCGACGCGTCACTGGTACTCTAAGTAGCCACTCGTGAGCCATGGGCGCCTGCGAGTGTGTGGAAGTCAAGCGTGGCGAGGCACGCATACCGGTGGCGCTACGCGCAGTTCGGAGCTGTATGCGGTGTGGATTTTACTCGACCGGTGGCGGGAAACCGGCTTTTCCTCCGTCCAACGTGTCCAAACAAGTTGCCTAAGCCAGGAAGTACGTGGATAACCTTTAACTTTAAACCTTTTTTTTTGGGGGGAATTCATTAAGACACAGATGAACAGATGGAAAAGGGTGGTGACACGTTCATTTTTATTGTCCAGGGTAAGTGAGCATGAGGAAGAACATCAGTTTCATTTCCCAAACGCTCCATGTATGGCATACTTGTACATTGACCCCTGAAACTACCCCAATAATAGGTTTCTATGCCACAAATCTTATGTGTGTGTGGGTTTGGAACATGTTTGAAAGCCATCAGCAATTGGGCTCAAAGACTGAGCCGAGTTGTTTGGTCTTCCGACACTCAGTTCCAAGAAATGGGCGCCTGCAGCTCCAAGAAATCCACTGCAGTTCACCCCATCGACGTGGTGCCTTCCTCACCTGCGGCTGCACCGCCTGGGACTGCGGCGGCGCCAGCGCCGGCGCCCGTGGCGGCGCCCGCGGCGGCGCCGGCGGCGCCTGTGGCGCCTACAGCTGCGAGCCGTGTGACACCAAATGCGCAGCAGACTGCTGGTCCTGTGGGGGCTGGAATCGTTCCGCAGGCCTTTTTGGGATTGGGGTCCGTGGCTGGTCCGGTTGGACTTGGATTTGGGCTGAAGGTGAATGAAGTGGATTCTCCAGCTATCCAAAGAGGGCATCCGGCATCCACTTTTATCTCATGTTTGGTGCAGATATACCTATATGGGTACCTACAGTGTATATTTATGATATTTTATGATTATTAAAGTAATAATGGCAGTGAAACTTAGATGCTTTTTCACATCAAAAAAGACTATTGCAAACCACTATCATCATAGAACATCCGCTGAAATGGGGCTAGTATATAATCTAAAACATCATCTTGGAACTTCACAGCCTCACAGCCGATTCTGTCCCAAATGTTCTAAGTGGATGGCTGTAATGTTCTAAGTACATGTTCCTCCCAAGGCCCAAGCTCTTCTTTCTCCTTCACCCCAAGCTCCCAACTCCTAAAGACACATGCAGCACATGCATCCACGATCCTGCAAATTCAACCAGCGTTGCAGAAATCACAACTATATTGAAAACATATATTTTATTACAATGTTGATTCCTACAATAAGGCAATCCTTTCGTTGAAAGACATGTTGAACATGGCACATCCAGAGGAAAGAAAGGAGTTTGGAACACGAGGTGAACAATGTCTTCGCCAAGAGGTTCCCACTCCATCCTGTCCACCAAAAATCCAGATGGTACCTCTTAACGAGGGGCCTAGTGGGAAGCGCTTAGCACAGCGTCTCGACCGCCAATGGCCGTCTTCGCGTGAAAGACGTCCAGACGTCCTTCAGTCAGACTAATGGCCAAACGAGACGTCCCGTCCAGACGCCCTTCAGTCCTGAAGACTCACATGCGAAGGCGAAGGCGAAGGCGAAGGCAAAGCCAAGCTCCTTGATCAAGGCCATCAAGTGCAACGACCTCCAAGTCGTGGAGGAGTCCGACTCCGAGTCGAGGAAGGAGGAAGAGAACCAAAACGAGGTTTTCGGAGGAGTCGACTTCCGTGTGGTCGACTTGTGCCCAGTGTGGACGTTTGTTTGTAAAGGGGAGACTTGCAGTGGTCTTGGCCCAGGCTTTTTCCAAAGATTAGCAGCAAGCTCCAGCAGATCGCTAGTAGGTTGGAGGCCGCTAGTAGGATCGAACGAAGGAGCCTTTTCAGTCGGCTTTTGCAAAGAAAGATCGTCAGGAGGCGAACTGGTCAAGCTGCATCACCGAGTTCGGATGGTTTATAGACCCCCCTTTGAGCATGTATTTACCATCCAAGAACCATCCGACCTGGGTGGTGCTTATACATCGAGGGCAGTTTGGTAACATATGGTCATGATTTTTTGAGAAAGGTCTGTACTCACCATCATCATCCACGCGTCTTTGGTCATGGGATATACCCCAATTGCCATGGTAGACATACATCTCTTAATGGGTGTTTTTGGGGTCATAGTTATGTCATAGTTATGTCCAGTGTGTGTCCCATGACCAGCTAACAGTCCTTCACGGGGTCACCCGTGATGTTCCGCAAGGAAGCGGTTCCTTCTCCTCCGTTTCCATCGCTTTGGGTCGGGGTCGGGTCATGGTCACATCGGATCCACAGATCTAGTCCGGCCTTTCGGTGATGTGGCAGTTAGACACTGCTGTGATGGGACGGTGCCCAAAACGTACCCATCTGCGTCACTGATGATGTGTCCGTCTGAAACGCGGGATCTTCGTTTCTACCGTCCCACCGGCTTCTTTTCGAAGCGCCCGCTGGTGACTGGATGCTGGTGTTTTACTACACGAAGTTGCTGGGACGGTTGGAATGTGTTGAAAGAGGGAGTTGCCCTACACCTCCAAGTACCTCCTCAAAAGGTACTTAGACCCTCCTGGCACCCACCCCAAACACCTTCTCAGCAGGTACTTGGAGGCCCAGGGTTGGTTAAAGGAGCCCCCCAGTGCGTTGGTGTGGAAAGGGAGTCCCCCTAAGCACGCACAGCTCCTTGAATGCGAAGACATGTGGTCCACCCGCAGCTGCACAGCTGCAGCGTCGATCATGCAGCATCTTTCCTTCCAGTGCGCCAGTGAAGAAGTCGACGACAGTGCTGCACGGAGTGTTTGTTCTCGCTGCTCTCATGGGAATGAGAATCATAAATGTTGAAGGAAAAAGACCGATTGCCAGGAAATGCTGCAGGAACCTGACTGTAACCTGGAGATGCTAGGCGGGCTTTTCTTGGGCGGATCCAGTGGAATGTCAAGTCTGGCTCTATGAGGAAACTCGTGCAGGTTGGTTTTTTAGAGGAAATCATGAGTTCACTATAGGAGTCAACAAACTTCAACACACCCTGAGACCCTGAGACCATCATCCTCCAACTGGCTAGACATGCCAATAGGATATCAATGGACACAAAAACCATCAAACGCATGGTACTTGTGGCCATTTTCCCAGGGGTAAGTACAGGGAGTACGGGAGATATATACAGTCAGTCCATAGTGAGAGACATCGCCCTCAGGGTTGTTTTTTCCAGTTTTTGTCGTCCTGTCCGCAGGCATGTGGGATAATACTCCCCTCCTCGCTGCCTGCATGTATGGTCACAGCGAAGTCGCTCTAAAGCTCATCGAGCGTGGGGCGGATGCTGGGCTCAGCCTTTGGAAGAAAAAGGACAAACAAACACATCCTACAGACCTAGACCTCCCTTTGCTATATACTCTCAGATCCGCACAGCCCCCTTTTTTTATCGATGAGAACTGCTAAACCATGTTAAAACCTTAGAAGATCTAAGGACAGGCTCAGAGACTGGGGTCCACCATGGTCAACCTCACTCGGACATGACCATCCGACTGTGATGGAGGTGTGTTCCTCTACTGTGCGGGTGGACCCCGTCAGGTCCCTCAGGTCCCCCAGACCAGAACCCCAGTTCGCCAGTTCTCTGGGTGACGGCACGAAGCAGTGAACTGTCATCCGAAAGTCGTCTTGGTCGTTTTTTCCAAGCTATTCATTGAATCGGTCGGTCAGAACGTACGTGTATGAGTCTAGAGGAGATCTATGCAGTTTTTTTTTTCCACAGTCTTCAGATACATCAGGCTCCGGGAACTTCCGTAAAACGGACACGTATAATGGGTCTCTGGACTTCTTGTTCACTCGGTCACTCCGCGAGTCCTACCATACAACTACCGATCAGGCACTTGGGGACCCTCGGGGGGTTCAGAAACCTGTGGCAGATCTTCCTGTCCCAGGCAGGTCGTGTTAGGGCCATCATCCCTAGGGCTCCAGTCGTACCGAACTTGAGGTTCGGTGGGACTGGGGCCCGAGTGCCAGGAGGGTCCAAGTCATACCGAACCGCTTCGGAGGTACGAAGTCTGAGCTAATTAGGGCTCCAAGATCCTGAATCGCCTGGTACAGACCTGAATCGCAAACCAGTTCTTCTCATCACGCGCAATGCGAACGATCACGTCCGCAGCGACGAACGTTGCCGAGGACGTCTTTGCGCGGAATGAGCATCGCGCAACGGCCTTGCACTACAGCTCGGTAGAGGGCTGTCTCGAGGTGTCAAAGGCATTGCTGAGCAAGGTGGAGGAGGGTGAACGTTCGAAGCTGGTGACACGTGGTGAAAGAAAGGGAGAGCTGGCCCAAACACTCCATGGGACTGGCATCAAGTGGTACCAGGGCCCCCGGAGTGGGGTGGTTCATAGACACCCATTAACCTCATGCGGAGCTATTATTGGACACGCCTGGCCCGGGGGCCCTGGGGTGGTGTGGTCAGCCGAAATGGGCCGATGTCGGTGTAGCGGATGGATCTGGGGCGAAAGCGAGAGCTCAGCTGGCTCCGGTCAGGAGCCCCGGTCCAGTCGTCCAGTCTGACCCAGGTCCAACCCTGGTCGACTTGACCTCCTGAAGTATTGATTTTGCATGACCATCTCCAGTATTTCCTGAGGATAGTTCCTGACTTGTATGGATGGATTTTGTTGGATTCCCTGGTCACCTCCGTCACCCTGAGACGTTCGTTCGTTGAGATTTGGTGAGGGTTCGGACCCTGGAGCCTCATAAGATGGAGGGGTCCTTCTCACACATCTCCATGGATCCCCAGCGGTTCGGGTGCTTTTCGAGGGAACGGTGAGGAGAGCGGTTCTCACGGAGCGTTTGGGGTGGGTGGAGGTGGAGAGAGTCCTTTTTCATCCTGTCATGTCTGAGTTTCAGCGGAATGTGGCATGACTCGACACGGCGCGCTTGCGCCGTTGCCTTCGGCCCCCCTATGCCCATGCACATTTAGCAAACAAACGATCACAGATGTGTGGGTTGACCTGGGTGGGAAGAGTCGCAAACACCATCCATTGGGCGCCCAGGAACTGCGGCATGGCGAAAGTTTACAATCGCCACCTTGATTGCTATGGCGAAAGAACTCCATTGGCTGCTGCTGCTGAGAGTGGCTTCGAAGATTCTACTGCTCTTTTGCTTCTTGTTTGCAGACAGAGTCAGACTAGAAATACCATTGCCTCTTGAATGGGCTTCTGCTGCCGTTTCCAGCAGACTGGAAGTAGTGTATTGTCGCAGATGCTTCGGAGTCCTATGACCACCTCATCCTGCGACCACGGTACGCTCGAAAAGCCGCAGCGCTGAGGCTTGCGGCTGGAGCCACGTTCGAAGCGGATGACGAGGGTCGCACACCGCTCTGGCTGGCTGCCCGTCATGGCCGGGTCGAGGTGGTGCAAGTGCTCCTGAAGCACGGCGCTGACGCATCCCAACAGGAAGCTTGGCGCTGACCGCTGTCCCACGGGACCCTGTGGTGGAGAGATCGAACGCGGAGGTCGCGTGGCGACCGGGCTGGGTTGGGAAACGGGAAGATATATTGGTGGGGGGGGGGAGTATGCCTAGAGGAAAATACATACCCACATGTTGGTCCCAAATTCGTTTTCTGAAGCGGCCAGGGACCATGAAGAGAAAAAGCTGAAAGGCCGGCCTTGGGGCTGGGACCAGTGCCTTCCCCCAAAGTGCGCATCAACGCATGCCGCCAACACTCAGGCCATCTCAGACCCACCTGGTCTTTGGTGCGAAGGCTACCAAAGAAGAATGCCTTTGGACACCGTCGACACCTACCAGCGTCCAAAGGAAGTCTGAGGTCTCAATTGGGCCAAGACAGGACCCAGTGGCAAACCACTGTATACCTAAAGATCTACCAGCTGTGCAACATTTTATGCCTCTTGCATGGTTGATGTATGCCGGATGAAAAGGCAGCAAATTCTGCACAGTTGGAAGATCTGCAGGTGTATATACCCTACACCGACTTCGTCGTACCTCCTCAGGTTCGGTATGACTAGACCCTCACATGGCACCTGGGGCCCCGGTCGTCCCACCGAACCTCAGAAGGGAACCTCGTTCAGCCTGTGGAACCTTTGTTCGAGCTCTGGAACGGAAAAAGAGCTGCGACATGCCCTGGGATGCCCTGCAAGTCTCGAAAGCGTCGGGGTCTCGAAAGGAAGCGAAAGGAGATCTCGTCTCCCCCTCACCTGAGCTCCTTTGCTTCCTCCACTCAGGACCAGTCGGGTGTCTCCGTCTTGAATGCCAACACTGGAGGTGGTCGCTGTCATGAGGATCTGATCTCCTTGCTGCTGAGCGCCAATGTGGATGTGAACCAGACCAGCGGCAGCCCACTGTGCGATGCGGTGAAAGGCAACAAGAAGCAGGTCCGCTTCCAGGGGCGGACCAAAGGGGCGGACCAGTTCGCGCGCGGGTTGGGTCATAAAACCCCCAAACGAAAGGCCTTTTCCGGACCTTCCATGGTTGGGGTGTTTCCAAGCGGTCCAAGCGCGTGGCGTGTTCGTTCGGGGTGCCCGGAGCCTTTCCGTGGTTTTAAGGGTTGTTGGTGGAGCCCCGAAGGGAAGCAGCTGCTTCAAACGGGTCCCCAAATGTGGAGCCATGGAAAATCTCAGAACATCCTCTCGAACATTCTGCGTCCTTTCGATGGGCTGCGTCCACTCGCAGCTCCCTCGCGGCTCCCACGCATTTCTTTGAAAAGGGTGGAAAGCTGATACCCTGGCGCCCTGAGGTTCCACCGGAGCCCCATGGAGAAGTGTTTCACATGGTGCACCTTAGGACCCTCATATGTCTCTTCAGCTAGGTAGCTTGCTAGGATGAGCATCCAAATCGGACACATTGGGCATTTCTACGAGACCATGCCAAATCCCAGGGTGCTGGAGACCGTCACCCATGTGGCCCAAGTCCTCCTCTCTCGCCGTGAACCATATCGATTCGCTGCGAGGTGGTCGAAGCTTTGTTGACCCATGGTGCATCGACCAACATGCCCAATGCAAGCGGGACAACCGCCCTTCATGCGGCCTGCGAAGCTCTGCTCAGAAGTTGCCAAGTGGTAGCAGTAGTAGTAGTAGTAGTAGTAGTAGTAGTAGTAGTAGTAGTAGTAGTCGTAGAAGTAGTAGAAGTAGTAGAAGTAGTAGAAGTAGTGGTGGTTGTTGTTGGGCTGCCTTTAGCTCTAGTTTGGTGAAGCTGAACCTCGTGGGCAACTCCCACAAAGATACGCTGACTGGGCGCCCCAAGTAGTCTGCCACCCCAAGAGGGCAGTTGAATTGGTCACGGATTAAGACCCCTTAGAGCCTCAGGCAACAACCCCCCATTTCGGAGACCTGTTGGAGAGTGCTGGTATGGGGTTTACACATACCAGTGGATCCCAGTTGCCACTACAAGGAACCAGCGATTCTAAATTTCAGCCTTTGGAACCACTGGTTACTAGCTATAGTGGTAACTGGATGCCCTGGACACTATTACGCTACTGTTCCAGGTCAACGTCGGTCCTTTCTAACGTCGCAGAACAGGTTCACCGATGGAGTCGGGCCTCCCCGATCCAGTTTGGGCACCGACAGCTGCCAAACAGGAATATATGCCTAATCACTACCAGGGGCCCCGGTTCGGGGTGGTTCATAGACACCCATTCACCTCATGCGGAGCTGTTTTTGGACCACCTGGCCCTTACAGGGTCCTGGCATATATTATACACATTTGAGCCCTGAAACTAGCCAAATGTAGGCAATCTATGCCAGGACCTTCCAAGAGGTGTCTCTAAATGCCCCTCTTAGAGCTGATTCGGGGTGTCCAAGAACGACCTGTTGGAAGGTCCTGGTACATACCTAGAATAGAACCCATTTGACCTCTTTCTGATAGAGAAATACACAGTTTTTGTTCCACAACAGGGGTCAATCAGGCCCCAGGTAGAAAATATACTGTTTGGCGTGGTTGGATCCAAGATCTAAGGCAATGGGCACAGATTGGTCGTCCATGTCGAGTCTCACCAAAATCTCCCAGTCGATTTGTGCATGATCTGAGTTGGAACAATCACTTCAAGTCACTAAGACGACTGGTGTTTTTTTCAATCTTCCCCCCAAAAGAACACAGCTCCAGCCGTGCTTTTGCGCCCCCAGACTTCCGGGCACCCAAGGCACCCAACAACCAAACCCCCCCCAACACATCGACCCAGCTCGTCCCAGGAGCGTGGTGATGAGTCGTTGGTGCAATTGCTGGTTCGCTTCCGGGCGGATCCGGGCGCCGCCAACGCCGCAGGATCGACGCCGCAGGAGCTGCTGCGGCGCCGTGGACTGGCGGATGCTTGGACTGGCCGCCCTTCGCGGAGGGACAGCGTAGGGACCGGATCGATTTGGAGGTCGGGAGGGCATTATATAGTACCCCAGGGAGTCCCAGCGCGTTGGTAACTGATGTCTTTATAAGAACGTACTGTACCCGTGAATGGGGTGCCTTTCTTGTGCAGCCATGAGTTTCTTGGTGGGCTCAGCAAGACTTGACAAATCTTGACAACATGCATGAAATATGTCATGATTTGGTACACATCTGTGCCACAAAATCGTTTTTTTCAACGTTATACTCCATGCATCTTCCGTGCAATGCCTGGCTTGCGATCAGCAGTAAGGAAACGCCAGGAACTTAGCTATATTATATGGTCTATTTCTACTCAAGCTGGACCCCATAAATATTGAATCCTTCGCTTGAGGCAAATTGGATCTCAAAAGAGATCATGGACGAGAAATCGAAGGAGGTGCCATTCGTATTTCCATGCCGCAAGTGTGCACAGTTCTCACTCCGTTCTCGTGAATGCATGCTGTATATTTTTGCTGAGCCCACATTATGAATTGTGCTATGCTGGCTCACTTTAGCTAGAACTGGCGTGCAAATCACCAGGCACCAGCATTTAACCTAGCTACAAGGGCCACTTACCAATTAATCCGCCCATGCCTGCCATCCCTTTAGCGTCGTCTTTTTTCTGCACGCCCGGATCCGTTGTGGCTATGCCGACCACGAAGCCACTCCTGCAAAGGATGAAGATCTTGGAGGCTCTAATTGTTTGATTCATGGGTGCATCGTGGAGCGCTATACTGAACAATTTGCTTGACATGTTGAACAGGCCTTCTATCAGGATATCCTCACCCCATCTTTTCGCAAAGAACGATTTGTGGAGTTGGGGAAGCAGGCTGGCATTGGCCAATCAAAAGTGGAGGCAATGCTTGCAAATTCCAAGGTAGCTTGCACGCGTTTGAACTTAGCATGATGTTGATTTCAGAACCAAACACCTAGCTGGGATAACAAAACATCACGACCTGTGCCCAGGTTCCGTCGATATCATTTTCGTTTGTCGATTTGGACTTTGAAGAGAAAACCCGTTCACGAAATGGATATGGTTTGTCCGAGAATGAGGCCCAACCGCTGCATGTTTTCAACACTGTTTTCAACAACTTGGCAAGTTCGATCTATGTGTTCTCTCTTCGTCTTAAATTTATTAATGTCACGTGTCAGGTTGAGAAACCACGCAATGCTGCATTCCTCATGCGCTGGTTGGCACAGTTTGCTGCCGACCCACCAACAATCACCGAGACTAAGGCCTTATGGCGCATGATTATAGAATTTATTATCGGTCGATCGATCGATAACCGCTGATCTTGCCAGGAAGTGTTGTGCAACATCGCTGTTGACTATCACTTGCACGCTGACCGTACGAAAACCCTACCTTTGCAGGCGAAAGGACTTTCTTTGATATCGATCGATCGATCGATCGTATGTGCATCTTGCGCAGGATTGGGCTGAAAGCGAAGCAAAGCTCCATCGAGCTCTGCACAGCTATTGTATCATGCGGCATGGGCGAACATCATCTGCGAGGTCACTTGCAAGTATCAATCAACGCATATAACCACACCCAAAAAAATGTGTGCAGGTCCGAGGAGAGCAACATGTACAAAATCAAGAAGTTGATCTCTGCGGTTTACGAGGCCACTTGAGGGGAGACCTCATGATTCTACAATCCCTTTTCTTCGGCAGGCGAATGGCATCACCAAAAAGAAAAGGCAATCGACAGAATCCAAAGGCCAGGGCCTATGTGTGTTTTTACAGTGATTGTGCTTTTTAGTTTGAACAAATTGAACAAATTTACTAATTTGTCGGGCAGGTGAAGTTGCTCCAGATGGTGCCACACCGTCCGAGCCTCCTGAGAAGAAAACGAAACGTGCAGAATCTGATGGAGAAACACATGATATGGAAGTCAGTGAAGACGAAATATGCATTGAAGAGTGCATTGAAGAGGAGGAATTGACTGCTGATGAGTGTGTCGAAACTCCTGAGCAGGGATCACACGTGGCTGAGCCAGTCCAGGGATCACATGTGGCTGGGCCAGTGCAGACTGCTCAGGGTGGTCAGGAGGTGCCAGTGAAGGCTGCTCAGGGTGGTCAGGAGGTGCCAGTGAAGGCTGCTCAGGGTGGTCAGGAGGTGCCAGCGAAGACTCCTCAGGGTGGTCAAGACAAAGATGCAAACGACTTGGCAGCACCTGCCAAGTGGGAAGGCTGCGAACAATTCATCGTTCCAAATATTTTTACGATCCCTGCTCAAGTACTGAACCCAAGCCAATTTGGATCCAGTTTGCCACGCCTTCCAGCACTGCAGAGTACTTTGCTATTGTATTTTCCTTTGACTTCCAGAAGATGCAATTTCCTTGTGGCAGGGACTGAACAGGTAACCAAGCTTGAGGCCATCCAGAGCGAGGATGAGAAAGGTGATCCCAAAGTAGCACACAAGGACACTTCCGTGGACACATGTGCACATGCATGCGCACACACACGCTATACATCTTGCGCTTATTTCTTTAATCAACCCGATCCCAGCTCATAATGCTTAAATCCCAGGAGTCAAAACCCTTGATGGCCGAGATTCCTGACTTTGATGAGGAGGAGTTTCAAAAAGAGGTTGACAGGGCGTGCCAAGAACTTGCACGATACAAGCTATCAGAGGTGTCACACGCCACTTTGTTGGTAGCAACATGTTTGCATTAGTAGTACGAGTGATTGCGTAGTAATGCACGTGAAGTATTTGCTTTCACGTGTTTGGAAACACCTAGGCACAAAGGAAAATGCGTGCAGCTCTGAGGGCTGCCGAGCAGGAAGCCGAAGAACAGAAAGCTAAGAAAGGAAAAGGAAAGGGAAGGGGAAGGGGGAAAGGTAAAAAACAACAAGAGACTCAAGAGACAGCACCAGCAAAGGAACTAACAATGGAAGAAGAACTTGAACAGGAAGAGAACAAGATCAGGCGTGAGATTGAGACGGAGGAAATGAATGATGCACCAACAAGGAAAGGGAGAGGGCGTGGTCGTAATGGTCAGGGAAGGGGAAGGGCAAGCAAAAAGGCAAAGGTAAACACATGTGGTGATGCACCAATGGAGGTTACACCTGAAGCAGCACAAGCAAGCAATGCAGATGCATCCGATGACAAAGCAGCAGAGGCCATTGCTAAGGAAGGGGCAGGATCGACAGGGCCAGCAGCCCCAACAACACCAAAGAACACATGCACAAAGGCAGCATCGAGTGACGCGAAAATGGCAAAGGAAGCACACAGTTCGGGTCATGGTAATGAGGCGTGAGTTTTTGTATGCTGCTTTCACATATTTTATCATATGGACTTTATGTACAATGCAAAATCACGTTCCCTGTCTTTTCGTTTTGTATCGATTCGTGTCATGTATGCAACATCTGTCCTTCGATCGCACAGGTGACAAGCGGATCAGCACAGGCAATGCCTGCAGAGGCAGTGCCGGCCAAGAAACCATATCTCAAGGACGTTAGGACCTTGTGTGATGGACGATGCCATCATTTCAAATGCAATAGTTTTTTTGGGCCAAGGCCACCAAACAAAAGAGTGTGGAGTTGATTTACGCGAACAAGCAGTACTTGCCTGACATGTGGATTCCGTCGTCAACCGATACCGTTTCGCAGCTTCCCAAGTCAGATCTTTGCTTTTCGAACCAAACTTCATGAAGTAAAAGTTCCTGTAACCGTACACTTGAGGTCCTGGACTGTGAGGCCTTCTGACGATCTCTTGGAAAAGAACCGTGATTTAGGTTCTATTGGGATCATGCTTCTTGCCTTGTCTCTTCAATTCAACCCACCCGCATCCACTTATAAGCCTTGTCTCGGCCAAGGCTGGTGGGAAGCTTCTATATCTACAAGCCCAGTGCCAAAGGTTTGGCCGACTGGAACGAGTCGGGAAAGGGTCCTGTATTAAGGCAGGGTATGATTTGAGAATACGTAGATCGATCGATAGATTATATCTATTCAATTCTATGTGACCAGGCAAATGCCAAGAAAGGAGGATGCACCGTGACATGGTCACGATTCAAAACGTTTCCGGAAGCGTCCCTGACCAAGTCATCCCATGTGTTTGCAACATCCTAGGCCTAGGTTTTGTTTTGCTTAGGTGGGCTGCAGCAAGATCTGTGGCTGGATGGTGCTGATTCATAGCAGTGAGATCAGCTAATCTTGGGGTATGTTTTGCTATGGAGCAAAGCAAACGAGTTTGAAGGGATCACAAGAGCTAAGTGGGGCCTGCACAATGCCCACTGTCGAGAGTCAAAAAAGTATACGCTGCATGAATGAATTCACATATAAGATCGACTTTTCTACATAGTACAGTGCATTGAAAAAAACGATTTCGATTTCCAGCAGGCTCACAGCTAGAACAGGGGCCTGTGGCACAGGCACAGGCCTGCGGATCCAGGTTTGGGGGGACATGGTCGCTGGTTGGAAGCGATCACCCTTGGCACTAACAGCCTTCACGGCAACCCTCTTGCTTCAGTTTGGAGCACCTCAAGAACTGCCTGGGGGCCAAGCTCTGAAACAATAGACGCGTAGGCTCACAGCTCACCTAATAAATATACATGATTGGGGAAGCCAAGGTTGGATTCGGTGGACTATGTGGTTAAGAGTGTTCATGGCACAGATCTTGATTGCCGTGTCACTGACTCAGTATGAGTTTCCCAGCATACATCGATCTATGATACCCGAGTCCAGGATCTCTTCAACTTCGACGTGTTCAGCGGACAATCTGCCATTTCCAAAAGCTTCAGCCGTTGCCCCAACGACTCCTCCAGCCTCATCATTTCAACCCGTGCATTTTGTCCAGGGCAAGCTGGCCTCAAATCGTCGAGGACTCATGATCTTAAATTTATAGTATATGTCCCTCAAGCGGCTCTTTATGTTGAGTGCTGAGGGATGACTTCGATAAAGAATTGCGTGATGTTCAGAATGACATCACAACTGTGTGGGGGTGCCCA